GGAAGCCCCACTACCTTTTTTTTTTTATAAGTATGAATTTTATATTAGGAATTTTTTGACCTATTTCCAATCATTAATTCCTAAGTTTTTCTAGGAATTAAATTGAGAAGAAATTAGGAAATTCGCTTTAATGCCATTACATACTAATATTGTGATGCATGTAGTTTATATTTAAAGAGGCTAATGTCGGGAACAGGACAAATTTGCCACACGGCACTTTTTTAAAAAAAATTAATGGAGCGGAACGATACTCTGCTGCAGGAGCCCCAAGGCTCCCAATCATTACGAAAGGGAGCCTCAGGGCTCCTGAGAATCCATGATTTAATCAGTAAAAGTCATTTTGAAAAGGTACATCTCTATAATTGCTATTGAGCATTCACTCTTGGAACCTTGGAGCTCTTGTGTAGTGCATGAAAACTCCAAGATTCTAGCATAAAACATATATCATAGACATAATTTCTTCAAATATAATTTAAGGTTATTTTAAAAAAATGAGAAAAGTGTAATTTAAGGTTATTGAAAAGTGACACTTGGCAAATTTGTCCCGCACTCGCTAATGTCGGAATATCGTGCATTTTATAAAAAATTCAAAGAATTGACAATTGGATAGCACAAATTTAATTCTCCAGACAAAGTATTATTGTTTATATATTCAAAACATTATCCTGAGTTTTGAAATGTTGGCAAAAAATTTTCGTGTTATTTTTTGTGTTTCAGCATAAATTATGTATTTACTTATGAAAGATAAGCATTTTATTCATTATCATAAAGATATACCATAACAAATTGATAACATTTTAAAAAAAGTGCATTTTAGTGGGTATTATTCTGGCCAATGCCCATTTTTAAACGATTTAATATTGACCATATCAATAGCCGACTCAATGTAAAAATTTAGATATTATTTTTTTCATTATTCAAACTTTGATAAATTTTAGTATAATAAATGATTTTGTTTCGTGTATGATACAGAAATGAAAAGCTTAATTAATATCATTTTGCATTTTTTCAAAGGTAACTAAACTCCTTTCGCCGATCCGATTTGCCCCATATTTAAAATATAGCTTGCATATGTAGAAGAAAAGCTAATTTTGAAGTACGCCCCAAATCCACCAACAGGATTTCGAGCTACTAAAAAGGTACTTTGAAATGTGATTTTTTTTTATAAAAAATTAAATTTATTTTAAGATTAGACTAAAAACTAATTTTATGGAAAATCTATATCGACAAATTTATTACTTATTGGGTATATAGATTTTTTGATTATGGCGATTATGTCTGATATGCTTCCAATAAGCCAAAACACATTTCATACTGATTTCTATAAAAGGTATCTTTATTATAGAAGTGTAAGCTATATCTGTTTGTTTTTTTATTATAACAAATTCAAAATTCTCTTATAAGGACTAGATGAAATCTGTATTATTAAATCATTAGCTAAATGAAGGTTCAAATAGAAAGTAAATATCAATTTATATGATACTGAAACCAAATAGTTCTTTTAATAAAAGATAACACGCTGAAAATTATTGAGTATTTGCAAATCTCAAAAATCTATTGGTGAATTTGGCTCAACTTTTAAAATTATAACATCCATATCAAATCATAAAAGCAGACAAAAATTAAAGCCAAACCTATCGGCCAATTTTTTTTTGATATTTTGATTTTTGAGGTATACTTTTAAAAGTGGATTTAAAGCACTGATGAAAAAACATTAACTTCTGTCGTTATGATTATTGATTTAGACAATAATGATTTTAATCTTTGATTATCAAAACACTAAAGTCATCTTTTTAACATTTGCTTGGTAGCATTAACTCAAGTCTAAAGTACTATTTTATGTGGCACTCTTAGAATTTTTGTATTCATTGTACACGCTGAAATAGTACCATTAAAGTTATGGCGGACTTTCAAAAAATAGTTTGGTCACCTTTCATTTTTTCAAGAATGTTAGAGTACATCTACATTAAAAAATCGGATTCGAATTGCGATACTGCATCAAATTGTTGCACATCTGATAAGGATCTCAAAAGAGTAAAGTTAATTTTTTTGTGTTTTTTTAAGTTTTGGGTCTTAGTAAAACATAGGGTTGTTAAAAATATCAAAAATTAGCGTTTTGAAGACACCATGGTGTCTTATAATTTTCCCTTCCTTATTGGCGTGTAGAAATAAATGCGCCAATAGATTGAAGAAGAAGAATTGTTTTTCTCTTAATGAACTTTAATCCTTTTGATATAAGAATATTAAAAACATTAATATAATTTCGATTTCGGAAATTAAATTTCCAAATTTTTTGTCGATTTCGGAAATAACAGGATCCCGCATCCAGCACGCAACAACAAAACACAAAACACACTTTTTGGTTCTTTCATCGTTTTAATCGTAATTTATGTAATACATGATTTGAATAAATTTTTAAAAAATAGAACCTATATTAGATCCTTTTCAAAGATTCTTGCAAATCATCAAAAATAATTGTATTTTAAAAAACGATCAAAATATCCTTTCATTATTTTAAACTTAAATTAGTTTTTATGATTGACTAAAGCAATCATATTTATTCATCATTAAATAAACAAAAAAATAATATTTGAGAGTTATTTCAAAAAAAACTCATTGAATTTATTAATTTGTCTCAATTTCAGTATTATAAATTTTTATAATTTCAATATTTTGAAATACACTTTTTAATATTTCAATATTTATGATATTTCAATGTATTAAGTGTCTCAAATTGAGCTTCTCAAATATAAGTTGGCCTATTCAAATAATAAAATTAAATAATATTTAAAATAATAAATAAAAGTGATTGAGGTCATAGCAAAACGGCTGTTTCAGTCATTAATTCTTAAAAATAAAAAGGGTAAAAACTAAATAAAATGGGTAAATTCAATAGTGTCTGTGCTATCGTTCAATTTGAAGGTGTCTTTTGAAACCGCAAGACACATTGAATTTTTGAATAGTGTATTATGGTTTGACAGACACCAATGAAAAAAATAAAATGATATTTATTTTAAATATATAAGATCCTTATATAAAATATAAATATTTTATCGTTTTATTTTCTTGTTTTAGAAATGTTTTTTATTGAAAAATCAATAAAACTAACTCCAAAATAAAATTTTTGATTTAAAGACACTATGATGACACCAGGCAAATCTTCCAAGACACCTATCGTCGGGAATCTAACAACCCTAGTAAAACACCATCTTGAGCAATATTTTTGGGATGACGATAGGTCTTATTTGGCCTTACAGTGGACCCTTAAAAAATGATTTTTGAAATTTTTTTGGAAAAATAGAATGTCATATTTTTATGTTTTATTGCTATTTTTTACGAAATCAATAAAATATTTGTTAATTTGGCTGAGATTATAAATAAAATCTTTCTAAATCTTACAATTGATTGCTAAAATCTGTTTTATGTATTAATTGGCATTGAGATTCGTTATAAAAGAATGCGAATTATTTTGTATGAGTAAACGTATTTTGTAAAATTTCAAATTCTCTTCTCTCATTACTTACCTTAGATCTCTCAGCTTTTAGCTCTCAGATTTCGCTCATAGAACTCAGGTTTTAGTTATGTACTCATAGATGTATCATTACTGCCCGCAGATCTCTCATTACTACCTTACTAACCAGATCTTAACTCTCCGACCTTACTAACCAGATCTTAACTCTCATTACTACCTTACTAACCAGATCTTAACTCTCCGACCTTACTAACCAGATCTTAACTCTCCGACCTTACTAACCAGATCTTAACTCTCCGACCTTACTAACCAGATCTTAACTCTCCGACCTTACTCATCAGATATCTAATTATTTACATATGATATCTCACATCTCACTCAAGTCTCATTACTTACCCTATCTTTTTAACCTTTTATGATAATTACTGAAATAACTAAATCCTTTTTTTAGTTTAATTCTGATATTAAATTTTTAAAATCTCTTTAATTTTTTGAACTACGCCTTTAATTTGTAATTGCCGATTTCACAGATTTGAACCATTTAATAAAATAACATTATTCAACTTAATCATATCAAACATGGTAGTTTGATTTTCAGATCTACATTTTAAAAACCTCTTTATTATCTTGAGTTATACTTATATTATATAATACCTGAGTTCATAACTGAAAACTCTTAATTAGAGTACAATATTCAACTTAATCATAACAAGATTTGTTGAATTTCAAATTTGATTTATATCTTCCATCACTTAAAACTCTCACAGCTTACAATATAAGCTAAAAAGTATATTTTCATAGTAATAAAATTAATTATTAAATTTTTTACTTTTTCCTTTCCAAAACTAGAAAAAAGGAAGGGAAAAGGGAAAAAGAAGAAAGAAAAGAGAAAAAGAAAAAAAAGAGAAAAGAAGAAAAAATAATAATGAGCATATTATATAATTGTGGTCATAGGCCGAGTGGCGTGGAAAGGGTGGAGCCCGAAGGGCGACATCCTTTCCACGCCACGAGGCCCGATTTTTGGCCACTTTTTTGATTTTGGCCGCGTGCCAGCTCCTGGCACGCGGCCCGCAAAATTGTGCCAGTTTGTACAACCCTACACGTTCATACAAACATTGCTCACAAGAATGCATAGAAGCTATATTCAAAATTTGGGGGCATTTGGCCTGTATCAAGGGTAGTCAGCATACCTCTATGAGGGTCATGAAATAAATGTCAGACGCCCATATACAATTCAAAATTGAATGGTTTACATTGTGACGCCTTCATGACGCCTCCCCCAAACGAACCCTAAAATGTTTATAAACAACTAACAACTTTCTGATCCCATTTCTCATTTTAATATAAAATTTCTCTATTTTGGTGATTGAAGACCTAGAAATGCATAGAACATTTTAAGATTTTTTGTCAGAACTTCATAATTGATTTCAAACTTTTTTATTCAGTTGTATATATAATGGTTAATAACTATTCTATAGAAATTATCGAAAAACCGGAAGTAAAAAACAATGTTTATTCATATTCTAAATTAACAGCATCCTTTCTTCTCTTTATTTTCAGCTGGCTGGTCTACTCTAACACTCTCCATATGTTCCATCTTATCTTTATTAGCAAGGTAAATTGTTGCTATATGTTGAGTAATAAGAGCAGTATTCTGTCCAGTCTTTGCAGATGTAAAGAATATTGTGTATCCATTGGATTTAGCCCATTTCTTTGCATCATCTTCGGATATTGCTAACGGGATTGCATCAGTTTTGTTTCCTACAATAACTATTATGATATTCTCACTAGAGTTTTCACGAATCTGATGAAGCCACATATCAACATTCTTGAAAGAGTTTGGATCTTCCATTGAAAATACAACAACAGCAGCAATAGCGCCTTTATAGTATATTGGTATAATATTACGATACATTTCTTGTCCTGCAGTATCCCAAAACTGGAATGATATTACTTTTCCATCAACTTCTACGTCTATTGGATTAACTCCTGCACCAATTGTAGGAACAGTTTGATCGAGGAATGTACCACTCTTAATACGATGTATTAAACTAGTTTTCCCTACACCAGAATCACCAACTGCGATAATTCTTGGTGAAAGTTCTTCGTCGTTCATTGTAAAAAAATTTGTCAATAGCTAATCCAGCGGAAATTCAATCAATAAAAAACTAGCAACATATATGTTTAACTAATGATAAATAGTATGGATTTTATAAAATAATATTTCAGATCCGATAGATCGAAATTAATGCCATTATTGAGGAATTAGCTTTGCTCTTATTGCAATGGTTTTCAATATGTGTTGATGATGTAAATAACGAACATCAAAATCAGAGCAATATTTTTCTATTCAAACAAAAATTAATAAATTTAAAGTGATCGAAAAAAGGATATAAGGATAACAGGTTTAATAGATAGTCTTCTCTAGCATCATCTTACGTTATCCATGAAACCAGTGGCCTCTTGAAGTGGCTATCTATGTATTTATGATAATAGGATGATATTTCGTATAAATTTGCAAGGTCATACTTCTTTCATCTCCTATTTCACTTCTTTCACCTGTCACATGCACTCTTGTTCGCATGTCTACACATTTAACTGTCCTTACTACAATTCAATACATTTTTTCTTCAAAATGCATGCATCTTACAAACATTCTTAGATTTTCGGGTAAAGCTTTACTGGATAAGCATGATGTGTAGATATAGAGATGAAGACCCAAATATCAACGATATGAGAAGTTTGGTCGATAAAAATATCCTTCCAAAATGACTAGTCTCACTTTGAACACCAATAAAACTACCGGCACAGGTATTGGTGGTGGCTTGGGTAAAACTACCGGTACAGGTCTTGGTGGTGGACTCGGCGGCCTTGGTAAAAAAGATGCCCAACCAATTGAGATTCCACCAGAACTTAAAGGAAAAACAGTCAAACAAGTTCTCGAACAATTCGAAAAGCAATTAGAAGAGCAAGTCAGACAATTCCAAAATCAAGCAAGACAAGTTGCAAGATGGGATCGAGAAATTTTTGAGTGTTTATCACTTATGCAACATCTTGAGTCACAAATTAATACAGTTGAAGGAGCGCAAAAGGAACTCGCTCAAACAACAAAAAGTTTATTAGATGAACAAACAGAATTCATCAAGACTTTAACAGATGAAAAAGAAAAGATCCAAATCCCAGAATCTGCTGATCAGCGTCAAAGACTGTACCATTTAGCATTCGAACTTAGCAATAACTTCATATCCATGGAAAATAATCTTAAAAGCATCGTAGAACAAACAGATAAATCATCAACAGAGAGTACAACCGAAGTTGGAAAGATCGAACAGATCGCCAACTGCCATTTGGACGCAATGAGGTGGATTGAACACCAGACTTCATCTCTTGAAGAGAAGCTTGATGCTCTCACTAAGAAATTACAGACAATTCAGTGAAGTACTTGATTTGTCATTACTTCTGTTTTGAAATTTTAATTATTTTTAATTTATATTAATATTCAAATTTATTGAAATAAAAATACAATTTAGAACGATTAGAACTGATTTTTCATAATTTTTACAACAATTTTTTAAAATCCAAAAATTATCAAAGATTCGTTTTAAAACTACTTTAATTCTATGATAAAACAAAAATAGCACTTTATCTTTTACTCTAAAACAAAAATAATAAAACATTTATTCGGGATATTTTTTGCCTTGATTTTCCAGGCAGCGTTTTGCAAAATCTCTAATTGCCATCAGCGTAGGAAGCTTTAAAAATCCTAAATCTAATGTTTGGTTTGTATATATACTTTTGAGTTCAGGTTGTTTTTCGTAAATAATTCTTAGTATTTCTTGGGATGTTTCCTCGCTGTTCAGCATTTCTAAAGCAATCTTTAAACATTGCAATTCGTGTTCAGATATTTCTAAAATTTCGATTTTTGGAAGGGACATCATGAATGCTTCATGTATATTCTTGTGTATTTTCGATGGAGATGCTTGTACAAGCTTTTCCATCTTGATTCGTAAGCGAAATACTTCTGCAATCCAAGAACTTTTACTATTTGAACAAAATACTCTCCTTTCGCGCTCAAATTGGCGTCTCATTTCTCTTGCAGCAATACCCATATCAGATCCAGACCCGTTATATCTTTCTGCATTTGCCCAAACAATTTCAACGTCTTGCATCCATGAATATAAGTTATTATATTGATTTCCTTCTAGCCTTTTCTTAATTGTATTCAAGTCTTGTGGGTTCTTCACGTAATCTGTGTAATCAACATCAGCATCAACTCCAGGAACAACTTCGAACTTAAAATAGTTGCTAATTGGATGAGCCAATAGGTTATCCATTATTTGGATAGCCTGTGCTCTCATCACATCATTCATATTATGGTTCTTATTTATTGATATTTTTGGAGAAAATAATTATAGAAATAAAAAGTGACGTTTTCCATATATTTTTGAATTTTTTAGCAAATGGCTCACTATATATCATCAATACAATGGCCAGAATCATCAATTATTAAGATTCAAACTTCAGATGGCTTCCCAATGATACTTCACAAGCCATTTTTGAAGCATCGTTGGCTACTTTACAATAAACAGCCAGAATTAGCTTTACAGACTGCCCAATCATTAACAAAAGATGAACTTCAAGCACTCCTTTTATTCATTTATAGTAACCTTCCCGCAAAACTTTCTTACGTTAAAATATTTCAACAATGTGGTTTAACAAACACAGCAAGCTTACAAGATTCGACATTTACAGAAGATATGAGGCAAATGATGAATGATACTGAAACATTTGATTTTAAATTGAACGCAGCAGAAGAAGGAAAATTTGTTCTTTGTCATCGTCCTGTTCTTGCTGCTAGATCTAAATATTTCAAGGCATTATTCATTTCCCATTCACTCGAAAACGAAACATCCGAATGGAGATGCGCAAAACCAATTCCTTTCAAAACTTTACAGTTTTTCGTTGAATATCTTTACACAGGACAAATCAACGCACCAGAAATCATGCACATAATCCCTCTATGCTGGCTCGTAAGGTATTTGAGGCTTTCAAACGAAACAGAAATTGAAAATATTGTAATTTCCAACTTGTCACGCGAATTATGCGATGATAATGTAGAAGAAATATCAAAGATAGCAGAGGAGTGGAACATTCGATGCGTTAAAGGACTTGTTGAAAAACATCAATCAACTCATTAAAAATAAACTGTAAGATTTTAGTTCTGTATCATTATTTCTCTTTGTTTCTTGTTGCTTCACTTTATTACAAATGTATTGAATAAACTTAACAATTTATTTCGGTATTTCATTGTTTCTTATGTTTTCCCGGCCATTTATAGTATCAATCATTAATTTTAGCATCTTTCTAATATAATGTTTCTATATCATGACATGATTAATCAATATAATTGAATTATTCATATCATTAGCCAATTATTGCTGAGTTATATAAAATTCGATTGTCTTGAAGCTGGATTTCATATTAATGGATTCAATGCTATTTAAATTAAGATTAATAAAATGTATTTTATTTTTTAATGTCAATCATCTTGAACAATCAGTCATCTCTGCTAATTTACACAAGTTATAAACCAATTTATTGTGCATTGTGAAATCCAGGATTAAATATCTTTGGTCGAATCAACAAATGTATATTATAGGATTTATCTGATAGATTACATATAAAATAGTGTTTTATGGTTCAAACACCTATATATTGGATTTATTATTATATAGTGTAAAAAATGCTTTCTATCCTTTGTATTTTAAGTTCGTCTTCAGTTATAGCTTTTGACTTAGGAACTACTAACATGAAGACAGGAGTATTCAGAGCAGGAAGAAGTATCGAAATTGTTTTAAATGAACAATCAAAAAGAAAAACACCAGCAATGGTCTCATTCGAACCACAAATTCCTATTACAGTCGAAAATGTTAGAAATATAAGTCGAAGAGTCGGCATTTCAGCCAATCCTGTTTTAATTCGAAATTCTTCATCTGTTATTCGTCAAATTACTGAAGTTATTGGCAAGCAATGGTCGCCAGAACTCCAAGCATATCTTAACGAGCGATATCTTGACTTTGTTATGAACAAAGACACAGTAAATGGAATAGAACCTGAAATTGCTTTGGCAATGCTTTTCGAACAAGCAGTGCAACATGCAAAGGTCCAATTACAACAGGATAACATACAAGATGCTGTTGTTGCTGTTCCTGGATTTTTCACAGATTCTCAAAAGAAAAAAGTTTCAGCAGCAATTAAACTTGCTGGGCTGAAATTAACAAAGATAATCGATGAGAAAACAGCTCTTTCACTTCAATACGCTATAGACAAGCACGATACTTTCGTTTCTAAGCCAAAATACGTTGCAATCATAGATTTCGGAGCATCAAGTCTTACTTTGAGCTCATTCAAGTTCCATACAAAAGTCAACCCACAAGCGCGTGGAAATAACAAGAAAGTTCCAATAATTGAAGATTTGGATTATTCTTGGTCAGATATTGGCGGTTTTGACTTTGATATACAAATTGCTCGTTATCTAAAAGATAAATACCAACTTCCTCAAGTCGATCAGACGCTTCTTGCTGATGCAGAGCGAATTAAACTCGCATTAACACTTACAGACAACGCAAACGTTTCTGTTGACTCATTACAACGTAGAATCATCTTTACTAAGGACGAATTCCTTGAAATTTGTGGTCCTCTTCTTGAAAAAATTGAAAAAATTATTTTCGATTTCAAACAAAGACAAAAGGTTCCTCTTGACTCCGTTGAGATTGTTGGTGGCTCTAATCGTATTCCTGCTGTTCTCAAGATCATCAACAAAGTTTTTGGAATGGAAATTTCAAGATCTTTGAATTCTGACGAAGCAATTGTTTGTGGAGCCACATTTACAGCTACATCGATATCAGGATCATTTAGAACCTCAGATGTAGTCCATCAGTACCTTTTACCATATAATTTAACAATTATAATTGGAAATCGCAGAATTCAGTTCGTTCCTAAGAAGAATATCGAGAAACAGACTGTTAAACTCGATCCACAAGACGATGACGAGTTTTCTATCGAATATGATGGAAATCTCAGCCCAGGAACTGAAAAATTGATCGGAAAATGGAAATTTGAGAAGGTAGAGGCCAAAAGTGAAGCAAGAATTCTGTTCAATTTGGCCTTTACTAAGTCATCCCGTATAAAAATTTCTAATGCAATAATTGCAACGAAAAATGGCGAAAAAGTTGAGAAGAAACAACTACAATTGACAAGGATTTTCCCTGAGAAATCATCTAAGCTTCGTTTTGATGATGCCAAACGTTTGATGTCCGCATTTACAGCAAATGATATCAGATTATCTAAAATTGCTGAAGCGAGGAACTCATATGAGACCGCATTATACAATGCCAGAGAGAACCTCCAATCGGATGAAACATGGTCTGTTATTGTTTCTGAAGAAGAAAAGAAGAAATTAACAGATCATATCAAAAATGCGGTTTCATGGATTGATTCTGGTGCACAAGCAGAGACATCCGATGAAATCACACAGAGAAGAGCCGAACTTGATCAGATAATTGTTCCAATTCAAGATAGAGTCAGTGAATTTAAATTACTTCCTATTGCCGTCAACAAACTCGAAGCAATTGCTAAAGATGTGAATACATCAGTCAATAAAGTATGGCCATTGCAAGGACTTGGCGCTCCAAGAATTTTAAGAAATTCTCTTTTAGAATCAATGAATGAAGCATTCGAAGCTGTTGAAGAAATAAGAGAAGCTCAAAAGAATAAGAAACCATGGGAAGAACAGCCTGCAAAAACAACAGAAATCGAATTAAGAATCAGAAAATTGCAAGATCAGTTTGAAAATGTTAAGAACAACCTTAAACAAGAATCTGAGTTATCCGATGATGATGTTGCGTCTGATAACGAATTGTAATTTATTATTTTTAAAATGTATTAAATTTTATTTTCTTTGATATAGTTTTTTAATAGGGTAATATTGCTAATCAGTTGATCTATGGTGTATATCATGCGCTTTTGTTTCTATTATATATTTCAATCGGAAAAATATTACAGAAATCTTGAAATCCAATGCATATTTAATGTGTTTCATAGATAAAATGTACACAGTTTTAGATCAACTATCCATTTTAGTCAAGGGCAAATCCATTGCATCGAGAAACTTTGATGTATGAAATATTTTTGAAAAATCAAGCATATTCATTATGGTCCCCTTTTACATCATGAATTATGGATAAAACCAAAAAGAAAAGAGAAAAAGACAAAACAATGCAAGAATGAATTTCTCTGAATCAAAATTATAGAATGCGAACATGTATCTGGTCCTATATCATTTAGTATAATATAATAAGACTAAAAATGGTCATTTATCTATCTTTCTATTTGTAAAACAAATTTATTTAAAACGTGCTCCAAATAGTGTATATGAAAATGGAGTTGTACGATTGTTTTCTGCAAGTATTCAAATTTTAAAAATTGAAAACCATTGCAAATTGAATTAACTGCGAAATCTTTAAAAGAACGATCCGACTAATTAACAATTTTAGCAATAATATTTTATTTGTATCGTTTATAACTTTTCATTTTTTGTGAAATGTTTCAATTTCTTCATCGTTTTTTTAGTTTACTTCATTTCTTGAATATATTGTATATAAGCATAAATATATCTATATTAACTCTAATTGAGAATCGTTCAATTTTTGCTCATAAATTTTTTTTCGATGGCGGAGACTTCCATTTTCCCTATTCCTCAGGATGTTAGGAAAATGTTCATAGAGGAGTCTAGGCCAAAAGAAGAGAAGAAATCTAAAAACAGCGAATCCTTTCAAGAGTCGATTTCGCAATTCATACAATTTGTAAGTCACAATAAAGAATCAAGTTACGGGATTTTAAGTATTTGTGAGAAGTTCAGATTTCAGCGTCGTAGATTTTATGACGTAGTCAACGTTTTAGAAGCGTTAGGTGCCATAAATCGGATAAACACAGATTCGTTCACATGGCTTGGTATGGACAAGATAATAACCACAATAGACCAAAAAATTAAAGATAATTCCATAGATGACCCTTCATCAACATTAGATTCGCTATTCCCCCAAGAAAACAAGATAACAATTAGCCGATTAACCATTAGATTCATAATGTGCTTTATTGCACTCAGAAAGCAATCACTTAGTATCCAAATTGTTGCGAAATTTTTATCTCGTTCCAATAAAAGGTTCAAGACGACTCTTTGCAAGCTGTACCAAGTCGTTTACATACTTATTAACGTAGGTATCTTCGAAAAGAGGACTATTCCTTCAGAAGTTACTCTTGCGGATGTCTATTACTCACATTGGTGCCAAAATCCAATTTCAGGGATTCAACAGCTTGCAAACCTTGATAAGGAAGCACCAGAATTCATAATTCAAAGGAGGACGGTATTTTATACTTATCTCCCAACCAGAACAAGCACTTATTTATCAGATTCTGATTAATCTGGTGGGTGCTTGATGGATTAGTTTTTTATGTAAAATGGTTTTAATAATTCGATATTTTTAACAAAATTTATTTTTTTCAATCATTTTGAGTTGCTGTTACAGCAATTTATTGACTTATTCTTTAATTATAAAAATTTGAAACAAATTAACTTTCCACCATATACTCGAGAAATAGGTGAGAATGTTTTCTATAACTGCACTGAATTAATAGGAGTTTTGAGCCTTCCAAATATTGAAATAATAGGACATGGAGCTTTCAATCAATGTGAAAAACTAAAAGGAATAATAGACTTTCCAAAATTAAAAACAATAGGATCTTTTGCATTCAGTTTTTGCTACGAGATAACTAAGTTTATTAGCATTGGTACTGTCAAAAATATCACTGACTGTGCTTTCCAATGCTGTAGCAATATGACAGGAAGATTTGATACTTTAGATGTTGAAGCAATTGGGAGCGGGGTCTTTAATCAATGTGAAAAGATGACTGGAGTTTTGAACTGTTTAAAGATAGCTATTCTAACAAGGAACTCATTTGCAAGCAGTGGTATTGAAAGATTGATAAACTCTGAGAAAATAGAAAAAATTGAATCTACTGCATTACAAAGTACAAATATACTTACAAAAATTGATGATTTAAGCAGTCTAACTACCATTGGAATGGGTGCTTTTTATTATAGTGGAATTCAAGAAATATTTCACTTAGATAAATTGACAGCAATAGGTAATTATGCATTCTCTAAATGTTCTAATTTGCAAGGAACATTTAATCTTAGTTCTGTTTCATCAATTGGTCGTGGTTCCTTTAATGATTGTCCTTCTTTGTGAGGAATTCTTGATTTGCGAAGCACGACTTCTATTGGAGAAAAGGCCTTTTTTAATGATACAAAAATAAGCAGTGTCATAATACCAAACTCTGATGTTACTATTGGTGCAAATGCATTTGATTCTAAAGTAAATTTGACACTTTTATATCCATTAAATTTAAATAAAGAAATTATTTCAAACTATTCAAATAGAGATTTCATTGTCTATTACATAGGCGAATCGGGCGTATCATCTGATTACGATCTAGATTCTATAATATATAAGTATGCTAAAAGAATATATGTTTTATGCAATTATTCATCAAAAACATTTTTCGGACAAAGTGTTACATTGATGTGTCCATCTAAGAATAAAGCTGCAATTAGATCTAATATTGTTAAGAGTATATTTATGGCACTATTCGTGACAAATAAAAAATAGAATAAATAATTAGAGTCATATGATAGACACTATTAGATTATTTCCATCTTATTTGTAAATAAAACATATTAATCAATTAAATATATAATATATAGTAAATTATTCAAAATTCAATCTAATTTACATTTTTTATTGATGTGTGTAAAGTTTCCCTAATAGTTCTAAGTGAACTAACACATATTGTATCCTGGAGACGACTAATCTAACCAAAATAGAAATATTTTATGGAATTAAAACCTTGGCCGCTATTAATGAATTATCGGCGATACTAAGATGTGATAATAGCATTCAAGCGTATGTGGTTGATTAATATAAAGGAAAAATAAAATCAAATTTACGGTAAGTTGATATATATGATTAAAATGATATAAAGCGCATTTTATACAAAAAGTCTGGATAATTCCCTATTTTTCTGGCGAATATTCGTAGTATTTAAGGCTCCACGTTCATGCATTCAATTTTGAGAGGGCATTCAATTAAGATTTTGCCTAAAAACACACGTGTAGCCTCATAGGTTTGGTTTTGGAATGAACAGACACCTGATCCATCATCTGCATGATGAGATGGATCTATTGGTAGCACTCAAATTGAATAAATAACTAATTTGAAAAAACTTGGTTTTTTTCGTCCAAAATCAATTTTGGAAAAAATTGACATATTTACATCGGTGAGAAAAATTTTTAAATTCTGATTGCAGCATGACTAATCGCAATATTAGGAGAAACTAATTATCACATTCTTTTTCATTTTTATGAAAGATACAAAATCTCAAAACCCATCCACGCGCATAAAAAATTGAAATATCCTTTATAAGACAAGGATTCCAGAGAAACAAAAGTTTCACAAATCTGAGAAGTAGATTGCCAATTTCCTAAAAAAAACTTGAATTTTGCATTTATAAATATTAATATATTATTTGTATAATATCAAAATTGTAATGATGAGTTCAGTTTTTGATTTGAATGAACTAGAAAATTTCTTGATTTCGATTATCTTCATTCATGGGTTGATATGAAATAGATAATATTTTAAAATATATGAAGATTGTATTTTACTGATTTTTTATTAGTATAGGCAATATAATCTCAAAATACTAATATATTCGAAAATCAAGAACTTTTGTATATAAATCATGCGAGTGAACGGATAGAAAATAATAGTAGTCCACACTGTTTCTTCACATTCACAAAAAAACAGCCCTTGGGGTGGGGGCGCGATCAAATACTTGAAAATTAATTTTGGAGTCCATAAGTGCATAGTATAATGGTTAGAATTCCCTATAATAAATCTTGTTTTGAAGTTCATTTGCTAAGGATGTCAATTTGGAAGAAAAGTGAGAAAATTCCTAAAATTCTAAAAATGAATTTTCCAAACGTACTTTTTAATCTCATTTTTTTGATTTTGAAAAAAATTTGGAGAGAAGAACTCTTCGTTTTTGAATTTTATCACGATGGTTTTAAAGTATATTAGACACATGTATTGGTATTACTATTTTTGTATATTTTGAGAGAAAATCCCTAAAAAGTGAGAAAATCTAAGACGGTTTGAGAAAATATATAAACTATTGAAAATTTGAATTAAACTTCTAATTTGGAAAAAAGAAATTTGGAAAGAAGAAAATTCAAAAATCGAGATTTAGACTCAGCATCAAATGGAGAACAAAATGTTTCTTCATATGAAGGAAAAAAATTTTCTTGAGAAGAAATAGAGTTTTTAAAATTTTATTGTATGTAATGAAATAAACAAATATTAAAATTATTTTTTGATAACAAGAAAATTCCCAACAGAAAATATTTGAGACAAAGAAAAAAGAAAATTGAAAAAATATTACTCTCCTTTAGATTTCATGAGATTTTCAATTTATTTTCATAAAATTGACAATTTTATACGTTTAGATGAAAATAAGTGATTTTGCTTGAAATAAAAATTATTGTTTATTTACAGCTATCAAATAGATTTTTGCTATTTTGATTAAAATTTGTTAATCAAATTAATAATTTTTTTCTAAATATCTTAAATATCTGGATCACTCACTGATACGATGAATTAAACGATAAAAATAATACAAACTCAACTAAGTTTCCTGTCTTTCATTCAAAAAATATTATGCAATTTAAATTAAATTGTTTATTCAAAGATAAAACAAAGATAAAGTAATTATAATTATCATATACTTTATGAATAACTCTCTAATTGGATAAGATTTTCGTACAAATATTTTTATTAATATCGATAAGAATATGTTTACCTACTATCACCATATGTCGATAAACGAGAGTAGAGTGATTTTTATCATCGAAACTTTTTAAAAGCTGTAAGCAGGAAGTAATAATCTTGTTTTTTCTGAGTTAGTTGTAGAACTATTGATGCCCGAGTTATCATTGTGATGCAGAAGGATATCAATGTACTGACTGAAGGATATGAATTGAATTGAATTTTATTGAATTTCAATTTGATCAAAATTTGTTGAAATGATATGAATGTGTCAACTTCTGTATCATTCTCCTTCACTCCTTCCTTATTCTTTCGAGAACGAAGCTAGCTCAGCTTTCGCTGAGCGAATTGACACTTTTCATGCCCTAAACGTACATACTCTCAAATTTATCGAAAAAATTAATACCACCTAAACTAGTATATTCTTATTTTAAATATGATATTATCCTTATATTCCACACTAAAATTCATTTAAATCAACTTTTAAAAAAAGTTCGAATCCTGCGCGTCTCACTTTTTAAATTTTCCAAATGGAAAATTATATTCTCCTAAAGTGAAAACAATTTTCCAAATTGACTTCCTTACATTTGCCGAACACAAAATTTTTTTTCGAAATCGAAATTATTTCAAAAAAATATATCTTATTTTTTGCTTTTTAAGATAGTCATTATACACAAAATATTAGTAAACTATTTTTATTTGAATTACTAAAACTTTCAATTTTTTTATTCTCTGATATAGACTCTCATTTGATGCATTATGAAATATATATGATTTTCTTCTGCTGTTAGTTATATTACAATGAATACTTAATCATCTACCAAAGCTGACTCAATAATTTTAGTGTATTTCAATTTTCACTACTACAAATACTGTCTTAAGAACTATTGAAACTTTCCCATGCTTTTACCCAGCATAATGTAAAAATATATCCTTTTATACGAATTATAAAATTTGAAATATCGAATTTGATAAATTCATACCTACATTATGAAATATTTAGTAATTCATTATACAAATACATCTTTGGAGTTTCATAAACCCCTTTTTTATGCTGTTGAAGCTATAGTTTCATTTGGTCATACTCCGATCCCTTGGCTTTGGGTATTCACGGAGTTATGGGCCATTAAAAAAAAGGAGGATTACGGCCCTCTCAATTTATGAACGTGGAGCCTTAAATGATGAAAATTTCAAATATGCTAACATGCATATCGGATATGTCTTATTTAATTGTATCGAAGCAGGTTAAGCGGAAGATCATTAGATTCAAGATTTTCAAGAAAAAAAAAAATATGATAAGAAGATAAGCGAAGTCTGGCGAAATAAATTATGTCAACAAAATCGTACCTTCTCTATGAATGAAATATCAAGCAATATATTAGCATATAACATAGCATTACCCATATTATTGCTCAAGATTGGTAAGTTTCAAAACATTTGAGATATGCTGCGACGAAATTTTTGATAATTGCCGAGCTTGAAGTTTGGCATCGCTGTAGTTCTCTAATTTGCTTTAGTTTTAGAAAATCAATTGAACGAATGCGCAAATACTGTGATAAATTCCATAAATTTCTTCTCACACTTTAATAGTAGTAAGATATCTATTCAATGGTTGATAATGATTAAAAAAATTGTTAGATTGCACTTTTTTTCGTAAATCTTCGGGTATTCAATATTTGAATACATTCAATTTCAAAACAACGACATTTTTACTGAAAATAGTATACACAAGTAGTACAAAGATTTCAAAATTCTAATAAACCAACTTTTAAAAACAACGAAAATGCACATTATTTTGTTACAGATATGGTATCGTAACAGTTCTGTATACATTTCTTCTTTATTTTATCGCCAGATCAAAATAATCTATTAAGTAATTTATGTCATTCAAAATATCGCTTCCAACTGAACCTCAACGTAGAAAAACCCGAACTTGGTCCTCACAAGAGGATCAACGGCTGATCCAGGCCGTTGGCAAGTTCGGGATTGATAATTGGTCCCACGTAGCAAATTACGTTGGAAATGGCCGTACCAGAGCACAATGTGCGCAAAGATGGAATCGTGGCCTTGATCCCCGCATCTCGAGGGATCAGTGGACACCAGAAGAAGAAAATAAATTAATGGAGCTCGTAGAATGTCAACAGATTAAAGGTTGGACCCACATTGCTAACGAAATGGGCAATAGAAGTGACGTCCAATGCAGATATCATTATCTCCAAATGAAAAAGGAAGGAAAGGTACCATTCAGTCAACAAAAACCTGATTCTTTGCCGATGCAATTTGAATCAGGTCCACATTCATTAGATTCGAACATGAAATTCGCATTTTCGCCAGAACCATTCATACCAAAGATCCCGGTCGTCAGCTTGCCTCCGGCGTCGTTTAAACATTTACCGAAAACTAATAGCAATCCGCTCGAACAATTTTCGAACCCTATGGACAATATGAGTCCGGGACAAGTGAAAGTTCCAACTCATATTCAATTTAATATCCCTCCACCAACATATAATAGCTCAGATGTAACCGATGCTGATATCCCAGATGTTGAGCCCTCGCCATCATCTGAAAGCAACCCAGACTTCACAATTAAGTTACCTGAACTTGACTCATCTATTTATATGTTGTGGTAATTCAAAAATTATTGTTTCTTTTTTTTTATATCAACTATATGCGATTTTCTATGAACCCCACATTATTATGAAGTGATCATCATGCTTTATGATAAATGTATGAATAAATGTTAATTTCATGTATCATTTTTTTTAGAATTATTTCTTCCGACTTGAAAAAAAAAGTCAACATTATTGTAAAGTAACTATATGATAGCAATAATAACTACGCATTCATAATATTGGTAATAAACCTTTAATTGTTTCAATCATATTGATAATTTCGGCATTAGTTGTTTTATTTTAGTATTCCTGTAATACATTACTATGGTTTTGAGGTTTGTCGATATATAAATGATGGAACTTACACAAAATATACGCAGGATAATATCTGAGGTAAAATCTCATTTATGTTTCATATACGCTATACATAGCTGCATAAAAAAAAAAAAAAAAAAAAAAAGGTAATGGGGCTTCCAGGGGCTGCGCCCCTTCTAGCCCTGAAGATGATTATTATAAATGAAGTTCTTATATATACGGGTCTTCCAGGAGCTTTTCACAAATTATATATGTTTTCATGTTTTGTCACTTTCCTGTCACTTTTCAGGTAAAAACATTTTTATTATTATATATAAATGAATTTTACAAAACCACCGTTACCGTTCTTTGGAAATAAGAGTAAATGTAAAGATATTATATTGAGAGAACTTAAGAAACTACCGAATGGTCTAACATTTGTAGATTTGTTCGGTGGAAGTTTCTATATATCCCATTTGTGCCATACAATATTCCCAGACTCAAAGATTATATGCAATGACTTCGACAACTATATGGACCGTCTCAAACATATTCCAGACACAAACAATATATTGAAAGAGTTAAAAGAAAAGATACCTATAGGTAAGATGGAACGTATACCATTAGATAAGAAAAATATTGTGAGAGAGGTTTTGAAAAAAGCAGAATATATAGACTGGGAGTTAGTATACATATCATGTGTACGGAGACACTGCGTTCCACCGTACCCATTATATGTGAATTTGACACTTTACAAAACCGCTAACGTATATTTTACAACACAAACGACTTCACTAATGAAAAATAAACGTTCTCACTAACGTTCCCACTAATGTTCTCACTTACAAAAGTATTGCAACTCTTCCCATTGCTGTGCTTCACACAATAGTTCATATTCTTCAGTATCGCTGCTGTCGCTCCAATCGTCAGAGTCAAAATCACTGTCAAAATAAATGTTAGTAAGTTTTGACAAAGCTAATGAAACACGTTTACCGTTTGTATCGTATGCTTGTATAAACTTTCCATTATGTTTGTAGTCATAAACGCTCAAACTAACTTTACCCTTTCTCCCTCGTATCTGATAGAATGTATTTTCACGAGGAACGAAGAACAAATTCTTGAACTCATGACCGTTGTAGTTTGTTATCTCAATAGTTTTCGTCATTTACATCCAAATAAAATAAAAATAAAATAAAAAATAAAATAAAAAAATAAATGATATCACCACTCCCACACGTATGAAAACATAGCGCAAAAATAAATTTAGGTGAAGTGGTGAGATCTCACCTGTTTTTTCACCTCTTTTTTCACCCTGTTGAATTCATTGTTTTATAACTCTCTTCCTTTCTCCAACTCTTCTAACTTCTTCTTAAGTTCAGCAATGTTGTCCTCATGAAGTTTAATCTTCCTTAATATACCTTCTCTATCTAATGGTTGCTTTATCTTTCTAAACTGAACTCTACCATCCTTCATATATGATGTAAAACCTTCTGGAATAGTTCTGATTTAATGTATTCTACCAAAACTTTTGTTTCATTGCTTCAGTGACTTTAGTCGTCATTTCAATCAAATAAAAATTATAATATTAAATAAATATAACGTTATTTTTTCAGTAAGGAAACGCAGGAGTTTTACGATTTATTTGAGGAGTAGGTTCTGGTTTAAATGTTGGAGTCGGTTTAGGAGTTGACTTTTGAACAGGAGTTTGTACTTCCATAGGTTCAGGAGTCATTGAAGGCGTTGGAGTTTGTTTAACTTCAGCTACTTCAGTATTATTTACAACATTTGCTTTATTTCTTTTCAACATCATAACTGCTCCTGCTGTAGCTAGCAAACCTAGTGGGAGACCATATCTTATATAAGGACTTGACCAAATGCTATTTTTGACAGGAGCTGGTGGAACACCTAACCTTGGTGAGACTGCTCTTTGCCATTGTGCAGCTCGTAAGAAATATTCAATAGGTGCTCCATAATCGTTTGGTAAAGTTTGTTTCATAGATGGTGAAGGTTCACGAGAGCTTGATGAAGAACTCATTTATAAGCTTTAAAAATAAACGTTCATCCTTTATTCCTCACTGTCGTCAGTTGCTAAGTTATAGTCATCTAATCTTATTATGGGGATGCCATTAGCACGCACCTGAATGGCAAAGCAACAATCCCTCATAAATCCAATAAGTGGCTTTGGTACATTTTCAGTTGCTAGTTCAATAGGTCCTTTAACAGACAATTTGTATGTTATTGGAGCAGTAGATGTTTGACCTTGCTGGAAGCAAAAGTCCACTTCAGTTGGAAAACCACATAAGAAATGTGTGTTGTCATAGCTATCCCATTTATGTTCCACACTACCATCATCCACCAATGACCTCATAACATCTTCATTAAATCCTATCATATCATTGTTTGTATTGCAAGCGTTCGCAACCATTTCATAAAATACAGGTCCATATGATTTTTCAGGTTCTGCAGGCATATTTCCATAAGCTCCCATGGAAAGCTGAAGATATTTAAACTTAGGGTTCTCAAAATTAACATAATAGTTGTCTTTCTTTCTAAATAGTGCCCAAATACTTTTAACATTAATAGGCGTATAAGCTGCTGTAAATGTTGCACTTGAACTATCTGTATTCTTTGAGAATGAACCGTCCATAGGAATCCAATCCATAACTTTAACAGGAAAACATAAAGCCTCGTTTGTATAATGTTCTACAAGTTCTGTATAAATGTTAGGGTCTAAAGAGAATGACTTTGGATGAATGAAACATTCATTAAAATCCATCTTTGTTCGAAATAGTTGCTGGGTTACAGTTGTAATAGTAACTGTTCCACTAGCTTCTACTGCCTTCGTTATCATAGTGAATGGTTCATTCCATGGAACAAATTTATTTGTCGGTGGATTTGAATCTGAAGCAAATGCAACTTTAAGAGTTGGATTGAAAGCAATGATATCATTTACAGATATAGATGTGCATTGTAAGGCGTCGCTACTGAACTTTACTTTAAGCTGAATGTTTCCTGCAAAAGCTGGAATAAATCGAATAGCTTCTAATGGAAGGAATCTTCTAACAGGAATTCTTAAACGAAGCTTAAAATCAAATGATTTTCCTGCTGTAATTGGACCGCTAACAATTTGTCCTGTTCTGCATGTTCCCGAATGACTCCATACATCTTCATGTCGAGTCTTTGAGAAAACATCTACTTTCTTTATTTGTTCGGTAGTTTGTGAGTTTGAAGTTATATATGCTTCTTCTCTTGCGTTGTCTTGAGAATATACGATACGACCATTTGCAAGGATTTGATATCCAGCAACTGCATAGAAAGCGTCATCGAAACCAATCCAAAATCCTGGTGGGTTTGTTTTATTGGAACCTGAACCAATTTCTTTATCTACAATAAATTGACCTTCCATTTTATACGTAATGAATGTATTGTAAAGGTCCAACATATTTTCACCAGGAGGTGAGAGATTGAATGTTACCCATGTGTTATCTTTAGCAGTTCCAGGTTGTGATGGAATCTTTGCGTCAGAATATTTTCTATTAGTGTCACCAATTTGAACTGCATTGTCTATGATATCGAAATATGAGCGAATCTGATGAATATGCTCTGCTGGAGTAAATTCGTTTAACTGTTCGTTCTGCATGTATTTACTTCGGATAAAAATATCTATTTACTTCATTATTCTCACTCTTCTTCTTGGCATTCGTGGTGGAAGTTGTTTCTTGACATTTTCAATGAACTGTACATTCTCTTTTGTCTCAACTTCTTTCACTGGCGGGTCAGGATTCTTTGACTCGGTTTGTTTTTCAATGAAATTCACAAACTTTGCAATAAGCTCTTGGTTCGTTATTGAAAGTACATCTGGCTTCTTTTCTTCTTGTTCTATTGACTTTTCAGTTTGAATAGAAGGCTTAACATGGGCTTCACCCTTGCCATACACCTTAATGTTGTCGCTTTCTGCATTCGCTAATGGAACCTTTCTTTTTCTTACGTATATTTTACCATCTTTACTCTGACTTACGTAATAGAAAGGATGTTGTATTCCTCTTGCGTCATTTAATATAATAGACTCTCGCTCTGATTTTGACAAGCTCATTTTACACCGGTTAAAGTTTTAATTTTGTTTTTTATCTGCAGTCAAATGACTCAGACAAGCCCTACGGACAAGACCCAAGGGGTCATAGATGTTGAAGCATTGAAGAAAGAAATTCGTGAGCAAATTTTATCCGAACTGAAGGAACAAAAACAAGAACAAAAGCCAGAGAGACCAAAGAGAAAACTTAGTGAAAAACAACTTGCTGCATTAGCTGCTGGAAGACAAAAGAACCCACGTTTGCTGGCGAAGAAAGCTAGAGAAGAAGCTGAAGCAAAAGCTAAAGAAGCTGAAGCAAAGAAAGAGTAAATGGTTTATTTTTATCCGAATTAAATGTATAGACAAATACCTTTAACTGTTGCGTTCAGTAGTGAAAACCCTGACGTCAAAATAAAGGGGAACAGAGTAACGTTTAAGTTTCCAACAGACTGGATTGTGAACATTAATGAAGAGAAGTACATTGGCATAACATCTATGTATATAACACGTGCTTTCAGAAAGGTTGACTTTATACTTCAAGTCGAGATAGAAAATGACGAACAGTCTTTAAGCGCCCAAAACATTCACATATACAAATACTTTAAAGACGATACAACATTGTTGCAATGTATGATTTCATTTAATGAGATGTTCGAGAAAAAGTTCAACATTGAAGTACAAACTTTACAACCTTTACGTGAGTTTCTTGCACAACTGAAGGAAGAATGTAGTCGGCCACAACTTATAGACTTTCATTATGAATTTAATGAAAATGAAGATGGAACTCATGACTGTCAATTCATTGTATTCTCACCATTCAATGAAGTCGCTAAAGAGAAAGAAAATCCATTACGTATAAGATTTCAAATCTCTGAACCAAATGATGACTTCAAAAATGTTTTCAATTATTATGCAATGCTTCCGAGGAAAAATGAATTTTCAAAGATTGTAACACCTGGCATTTGGGATCGAAAGCAAGCTATATTATATTCAAACTTAAGTAAGGGAGTTGAAAATGAGTTCATTGGTCATACAAGAACTTCACCACTGCCAAATCCTAAGTATTACAAGCTTACTGGCTTCAATCGTGAGTTTTGGATAGACATGTTCTCCACTCATGACCATAAAGCACCTGTTTTGCTACCTCCAGACCATAAGGACTGTCTCTACATTGAAGCACAACTCTTAAACTCTACCATCGCAGTATTGTAAATGACCTCATGGGCTTCGCCCTTGCCGCTAGCGGCTTATTTTTATCACGAATGACCTCATTGCTGACAAAAATAAATGACCTCAGAACTTCAACTTACGAATAAAGCTTGTTTTAGTCGTTATTGAGAAGTTAAACTTCTCGTCAAATGCAGGTGTAGCAGACTTACATAAGTCAAATCCAATCTCTTGACCGTCATAAAGTGCTTTGTAAAGTTTCATTAAACTGAACTCAGAGTCTTTGTCAAATTTTCCTTGCGGAACCATTAAACCTTTATCTTCATCATAGAAACACTGAACAGAGTCAGGAAACATTTCATTAGCGGTTAAAGCAATAACATCTTGCTTCACGCCTTTCATTCTGCAGTGAAATGCAACTTCATTTAAATCATTCGTGAGTAAGTCTATGTAAGTCTTCTTTCCACAAAATATTGACTTGTATGCTAAACTTTGTTTTCCAGGTGTGATTTCTGCAAAGTCGCTATGAAATTGACCAAGGTTTTTACCAATGAGAACTCTTCCATAACGTTTCTCAAACTCTTCAGCTAAACGAGGGATATCTTCATTGTAGAGATGCATACTGTCGGTATCGCTATAAAAGATGTCCATTCCTAAGTCCTCAGCAGTACAGAATACTTCACACATTATTCTCTTCGACATAGACAGAATGTTAACACCAAGTGGACAGAAGTTAAAGTGTCTGCAAATACTTTTCGTTAGCTTGAAAATAGTTTTATCTGAACCATCCAAACCTTCGAACTTCACTATATGGTTGTAGTTTCTGATGGCATATCTTATAGCATCTTTGTCATTTACTATGGTTATTTTTGACTCAATAGGAGATAGAATAGTTTTGCCATAAATACTGTTCAGAATGAGCTTTATATTTTCTTGCAAAGGATTTCCTTCTTTCTTATACTTTAACCTTAACTCAAACAACTTCTTTACTTCATCTCTTATTCTAATATCTCTGTTTCCATCGTAATAGTATCCTTGCAACACTTCACATTTGACACCTTGATATTTTATGAGGTCTTGTAATGTTATATGGTCAACATACATTAAACAGCAAGTGTTTGAACTTCTGGGAACATTAAGTTCTGGATTTAGTTCAGGGTCACAAACTATTAAAGGAAAGTGTCTATGTATTCCAATCTCTGTTATCTTAATGAGAACAAAGAAGCCAGACATAAACTTTTCACCAATGGGTTCCTTTTGGTCGTCATCAAATAAATGTCTCATGAGATACTCTGTGCTTAACATTTCTTTCTTCATAACCTTTGGAATACCTTCTAAAGTATAAAGTCTTGCTATAGCGGATGGATATAATGAAACAGCGTCGAAATCAGCAATGAGTTTCTTTTCGCTCTTTTGTTTAATGTTATCTGACAACATACATCTTCCACCTTGAATGCATCTCGAAATAAATTCTCTTGGTTTATTTGAGAGGTCATATAAATTTCCATTCGGGAAGTACACTCTGTTCTCAAACAATTTGTTAGCAATAGAACAAATACTAACGTAGTCATAAACGTTTAAATCAAATTCTTTCAATATGTCATTGCGGAACTTAACAAAACCTTCTCTTAAAATTCTTACATCTTGTTTGCAATAAAATGTGCTATACTTTTCTAAGTCGAAGTGGTTCTCATCTATTCTGCAACCTTTGATGGAATCTATGTTCTTCATGAACGTATCTGCATCCTTGACAAACTTACATGCTTCAGAAATGACACCAGTTCTGTTGTCATTTGCTAACAAAACACTGCTGTAGTAGTTATATGGAAATACTTCTTTCGGTCCTGTTTGTAAGTTAAACATAGCAGGAAATAGTTTAAGCTTCTTATTTATAACACTGTAAGAGTCTTTTATAATAATTGCCCTTCCTTTATATAAGCCAGTTATTTGCATTGTTCGTGAACCTTTAATGATGGGAGTTCCTTTCACTTCTGTCATGTGTCTTAAGATGAAGTTTATATCATAACTGAGGTTATGGAAATATATTAAACTCTTGTCAGGAAGTCGTTCCAAAAATTCTGTTGCACAGTTCTGACCCCAAATGCTTTCACTCACTGAACCATCTTCATTGTCGTAACATATGTTAAAAGCTTTATGAAAGCCATCGGTACTACACTCAAAGTCAGCAAAGAAAACATGCTCAGGAATGAACTTGCACTTATTTTTATTTACTTCTTTTGACTCTGCTTTCTTCTTCAGTTGTACACAATACTTTGGAGCATATGTCAAATCTTTAAATGGTGCAAGGTTCTGTTTATATAAGTCAGTCGTATATGTGAAAAGTTCTCCATAAGAAATAGGTTCGAAATATTTGCACTCCCACAATGTTTTCATAACATCCATAACGGTGTTGTTCTATCATAACGAACTACATATTTGTTCTCTCTCTTTGTATATATTTTCATCTGTTTCTCAATGTTCATTCCACCACAAGCTTTGAGAATTTCTATATAGTTGCGAATGAAATATGTTGTCATTGGTAATCTTTCGTTTAGCATGTAGTGGTCTTCAACAAGAAGTAAGTCAATAGTTCGAACAGTTTCACATTCTTTTGGTATGTATCTCTTTATTTCATTATGTCTTGAGTCATTGAAGTAACCAATGGTAACATTAAATGCTATACCTGTTGCGTCAGAAATTTCTTGTACTTTACTTTGAGGAAAGTCTCTAACACGAATGACTTCTCTCATGTGGTCAATAGTCTCTCCATCTACTCCAGCCTGAATGCAAGCATAAACGAAACAATTGTCTTCTGTCATAAGTGTTGCAGTTCTTTTGTTCAGTTCATTGAAGATTTGGTAGCGTTCAAGATTTATAGGTAATGTGCAAAGATACTTCCAGAACTGACCGCTTCTCTTCTTATAAAACTTCTTTTCACCATTATCTTTCCAAAAGCTTTCTATAAGTGCTGGGTTTCCTGTTTGCTTAAGAGCTTCCAAAATGGCTTTCTGGTCATTTGTCAGTGTGCTTTCATCTCTATATGGTCTCTTTTTTGGTTTGCCTTTCTTTACATCTGACATCGTTAAGCCTTCATATTCTGTTAAATCATACATCTTTATTTCGGTAAGATTCTTTATGTTTGTCAAGAAGAAGTCATAGTGCATTTCAACAATACCTGCAGCATTTGCTTCTATCTCTGATATAAAGTTCTCCTTCAAGAGCTGATGTAGTAATGTTCCAATATTATTGAGGTTTAACGTAGAACATTCATACTTTCCACCAAGTTTATAACATACCATCCATCTCTGTTGTGAGTTTATTTTAATCTTCTCTAAGAGTCTCATGAAAACCTTACCGAAATGTTTGTGTAAGTAGTCTCTGTTTGGTTCATCTAAAGCTTCGATGTTAAAGTCAATGAGTCTATTGCCTGACTTCACATTTCTCTTCCTATTCTCTTCATCTTTCTTTAACCATCTCTCACCTTCTTTTGGTTTGTCGTCAATGGAACGAATGACATCGTTAGCTTTGCGAACTTGTTCTATAGCGCTCTTAAACATCTCTCTTCTCTGTTGTTTCAGTGTGTCGTCTCTTCTTCTTGTTTCACCAACGTTCGCATTTGTTATGTCAAACATTTCTTGACGAACATCATGTGAAAGAGCTTTACGAGTATGACCAACGTTCGCATTTGTTATGTCAAACATTTCTCTTCTTACTTCATGAGGTAGAACGTCTATGATATAAGTCAATAGCAACGTCATTTAAAGGAAATGTTTTGTTATTAATGTAATCATGAATTCTATCATAACTTATTGCACCATTATAGTCTTTAATGTCAGCGAGTGCCTTTTTGTTTGTTGCGTAATGCTTTGCAACATCTATATTAGCTTCTGTAAGAAGTTGTTTTATTTCCGAGTGTTCTAACTTAGACAACTTCCGATACATCTTTAGTAGGAAATAAAAAAATATTTTTGAAAAAATTAGATTAGATTTTTTTTAAGTTATTTTTCAAAATAATTTAATATTTTTATTATAATGAAACACATGCAAGATTGCAAGTTCTTTTCATACAATGCTCTCGCTAATGCCATCAAGAATGAGTTCAATAATGCTTCAAACGTTAATGTTATCTTTAACAAGAAGTTTGTGAAAGAATCTAAGTTTGGTCAGTATGTCAGACCATTAGCTATCGTCATTGACCGCAAACGTTATACTTCACAAGAGTTAGCAGTAGTTTTGAAACAAAAGAGTTTCTTCGTGAATGTCAAAGATACTCATTATACTGTTATAAAGAACTCTAACATTGACTTCTTCAGTATTGCTATGAATCTTTCCGAACAGAAAGAATATAAGAAGGGTGAAACAAATGTGAAATATTATCCTTCATCTCTGAAGACAATAACGAACAAAGATGTTATACAGAAATTCTTACCAAAGGTTGAAGAAGCTTCAATTGACATTGACGAAGGAAGTGAAATGGTTGAAGAAATTGACCCTGAAGCTATTTAAGCAAAAATATATTTTTGGTTAGTCTTCATATGGATATTTTACAACAATTCCCCAATGTATAAACTTTTCATACGCTTTTTCATAAGCTTTATATACCTTCAGAAATTTTGCATAATCTTTAGAAGCATTTAGATATTGTTTAAATGCTTTGTATGTCTTCATAAATTTTGCATAATCTTTTACATGCTGTTCGTTCTCCTCTTCTGTCATGAGTTCCGAATATTCTAAATTCATGTTCTTTCATATGAGATAAAATTTTATAAAAAAAAATAAAATTAGCTTAGATTTTCATTCTTCCTCTTTGAAGTTATCGAAATACTCTGTTATTTTTTCCTTTAACAATGGTAAGTCTTCTTTGAATGTAAGTATTGTGCAACCTTTGATGTCATAGTGTGTTTGAGGAAGAGTATTTTTGACAATTTCCTTTATTTGCTCATTCGGTGTCATTGAAATCGGTAAGTTTTCACGATAGAACCAGTTTCTGTCAGATTTGTAAATCTTAGCAAGGTCATAAAAGCTTTTGTTGTTTCTTCTCACTAAATGCAACATAACCATATCTCTGTCTTCTTCATTTTCCATCTCTTCAGTATAAATCATATACTTATAGTTCTTTTCCTTTCCTTTTGGTACTGAACGCGGTATTCTTTTCTGTATGCTTTTGTCTTTGGATTCAATGACTTCATCTTTTGCTTGAAGTTTCTTTTCCATCTGTTCGCGTTCTGCTTTATATAGTTCATCTAACATCATGAAAATATAACAAGCATAACGAGGTGAAGCCCACATTGCAACAGCATTTACTAAAAGTCTATGAACATAATAACCTTTCAAACCAGGTGCCAAATTCTTGCGATTTTCGTACGGAATCTCTTCCCTCGGTTTTCCGAGGGTAGCAAACATATGAGGAAATTCTTCTAAAAGTTCTTTTGTCTGTTGGTTTTCAAACCAATGATATGCTTGCTTTGTAGAACGAAGAGCATTCATTATACTTTGCATTTGGTACATATCGTCTTTGACTGAACGAATGAGTCTCAATTGTTTGTTATACTGTATGTACTCATATTCTTCATTTATGGCTTCATGAACGATAGCAGTTGTTGTGTTCTCTAATGTTGTCATTACTGTCTTTACATACAAAATAAAAAAATAAATAAAAATAAAATTAGCGTTATTTTTTCTGAGATAAACACTATTTCTTCACAACATTAAATTTTATCCTGTATGAAATGACTTTAAAAAGATTATTGACTGACTTCGAATACTATCTCATTGACGCACTGACAGACCCTCAAAACTGTGTTGAAAGTTCTTTAAGCTTTAAGATTGAAGGTACGACGCATTTTGTCTTCACTTACGTATTGAAAGAATATGACCGTTATCATAACGAAGTGAATCAAACACTAATAAAATTTGTAGATAAAAAATTGGTTAACAATGAATATTTTAAACGTGAAGACCCAAACACTGCTGGAGATGATGAAGAATACAGACAAGCTATTGAAAAAAATAACGCAAGATTAGATGCAATAGAAAAGAATTTTAATGAATGTCTTACAAACACGTATGAATATCTTATGCGGTGGGAAGCTAGATGGAAATAAATTTACGTCAAATATGCAATTTATAAAATCTTATGTCGACAGGCTACGTAGCACAGTGGTCTAAGGTGGTGTTATGGAGGGGTCAGAGTCTGTGGTTCGAACCGCGACAGCGCCGTATTTTCTTATTTTCTTTGTTTGTCTTGTTTGTCGTGAATAAAAAGTGTCATAAAAGTGCTCTATCTTCCACGGGAATAAATAAAAAATTTACTTTATTTCTTCTTTATTTCTTCTTTATTTCTTTGTTCCCGTGGAAGAAGGGTTTTGCTGTTTTTTCTCAGCCGAAATCAATGATTTTTTCATTTTTGGAATCCTTAGCGAATGAGGAATCTTTTCTCTCGTGGAAGCTTTGAACAAAAATATAATTTAGGTGAAGAGGTGAGATCTCACCTAATTTTTCACCTAATTTTTCACCCCTTGAACTTTTTATAACATTCGGTCATAACTTCATCAATTTCATTTAAATCACGATTTAAAAACTCATTGACTTCATCTTCAACCGTGTCATCTTGTAATAAGAATATTTTCTTTAGTTTCATGTCAACATCCCGAACAGCACAAAGGATAAAATCATATTCATTTCTTCCGTTAAACATACTTTTTCTTTCTCGTTCATCGTTAAATAAATTATTGAAAATATAAACAGCGGTGTAAAAGTTATGTACTGTGTTAAATGTTGAAGCTTCACCTATTTTAGATTTTAGGATTCTTTTAGTAAGTAAATTGTTATCGTTCTTTCTCTTTTCCTTATCGTTCATGTCGAATCTGTCGAACCACATATCCTGTATTTCATCGAATTTACGAACTATAGAATCCGTCATTTCCCTGGTTAATGAGGGGTAATCATTATTAATTTTTTCATATAATTTGTCCATATGATTTTCATCGACGTTTCCGGAAAGCATTTAATTAAAGCAAAAATAATGTTTAGGTGAAGAGGTGAGATCTCACCTCTTTTTTCACCCCAGTTTTTTCACAAGCGTTTTACATGAATTGTACGATGTATATTTGAAATCCTAAACAATTTCGTAGCTTCTATTTCTTCTGTCAGTATGTCAAAAGTTTTAACAATACCGAAGGTTTTTTATACTTCTTCTTGACGTCAGATAGAAGGAAATCTTCTGCTGTTGGATAGTTTTTGTTCAGAAATTCTAACATGTTCATTTTATCTTCTGCTGGCTTTTCTGCTTCTTTCTTTAAGTCTGCATAGTCGTTTCTCATTCTTTCTATCTCTTTGACTGAGTAGTTATATTTCCTAATTGCTGCCTTACATTTTGAACATTGCGGGTTCATTTTTGCGTTATACATTGAAATAAAACCAGCTAAAACAACTAAGCGTCAATGGTTTTCTTCATCTCAAACATAGCGGGTCTTATTTGTTCGTTCCATACTTTGCCTCTTCTATCTTTATCTCTTATTCCCAACACATTTTGCAACTAATGAAACAAAGTTATCGTAGGTCTTAAATTCTTCAGATTTATATATGTCAGAAACATTCTTATATACCATGTCGCAATCTTTGTCCATAACCTTATGGTTGCAATGAAAACCAAGGAATTCATAATTTACTTTACGTATGAACTTCTTTATTTCTACTGAGTCAGTTGGTTTTCACTTCAATTTCGTCGAATTCAGGAATAGTGAGTTTTTGTTGTTGGATTTCAGGCAATTTGGGTAAATGGTCAATAATGTCCTGCATTTCATAAGAGATATTCTTCATTTTCTTCATCTTTCGCACTACAGTCTAAATTACTTGTTAAAAGTTCTTGCTTTATCTTCTGGATTTTTGTTTCGAAAGTATATGAAGAAGGAATGAAGTTTTTTCATCTCTACTAACATTGACGTAGGATTCATGACTAGCGAGTTTGGTGCTGTTGTTGTGGACAGAGTCCCGCCGTTCGCGGCTTGAATTGTTGTTGTGCCGATTGTTGAAATCATATCTTTTATACAAAATAAAAAAAATAAATAAAAATAAAACTAACTTTATTTTTTCTATCTTAAGGAAATTCATGAAAATTCACGAGGGTGAAAAAACAGGTGAGATCTCACCTCTTCACCTAAACATTATTTTTACTGAATTCAATAAAAATAAATGGTTCATTTACTCACAATATTTTGTACAAAACGACCCCAAACTTTTAACTTCTTTTCTGCAGCTTCAAATGCTATCTTAGCGAGTTCATATTCTCTAAATTCTCTCTTTAAATCTTCTTGTTCCCATTGGTCTAGTTCGTATGGAGAATCTCTATAACCATAATATATCTCACGTTCATGTTCTAATTGTTTTTCACACATTTTTCCAACTTCTTCTTCGAACAAAGGTTTAGCATTCTCCACTGTATCTTCGAGTTCTTCTTCATCTAACTTCTCATGAACTTTCTTGTCTATGGAGTCCATAATATCTTTGACATAAAATGCATACTTTACAGAGCACCATTCAGCAACAAAATGAACGAGGTCAGCATGTATGTAAATACCTTTGAATTCATTCATAACGCCCTTAGTAAGCTCATAAAATGCTTGTTTTGAGGTTGAGCCACTTTTGGCTCGACCGTATTCTTTCAACCAAAACTCAAGAATTTCCTGCATTTTAGCACTATTGAGAAATCTGTTTAAATGGTTTAACTTTCCTGCTTCTCTTGCCATCTTTGTTGCATTAATGTAACCATCCTTGTCTCTACGTAAGACTTCAATACCGTTATAAGTGCCTTTTGTGAATGTTTCACCATTAGATTTGTTCGTGAATGTTTTTGCTTCGACTGACATTATTGTCTTTACATACAAAATAAAAAAAAAAAAAAAAAAAAAACTAACTTTATTTTTGGTCTTTTGTGAAAATTCATGAAAATTCACGGGGTGAAAAAACAGGTGAGATCTCACCTCTTCACCTAAAATTATATTTTTGTCTGATTTACATCTAATGAAAAAGTTTAGAAGAATTTTCTTATTCTTTCTGGCATATTTTTGTCTTTCCAGTACTCCCGCTCTAATGGTCCCAGATGTGTTGGCTTCGACTCTCTCAAGTTCTTAGATGGTATAACATCTTCAACGCCTCCTTCATATCTTACTTTATAAGTGTCATCGTTTGTGTTATAGCCAAGTATTTCAATAACCACTCCTCGCTTTGCTTCGTCAATGGTTTCAGCAAGTTTGCCATTACTACTTTCGACTAATTTATGTCGAGGATAAAACGCAATAGAGTCGTCGGCAGCTTTTATAAGATATCCATTACCTTGCGTAGAGTCTACGATATAATAATTTCGACTTAACCTTAAACGTTTCTTTGTCAACGGTTTGTCGTCAAGAACTACACGAACTTTTGTTCCAGGAATGAGGGTAAATTGTGTTGAATTTCTGATATTTTGTGTTTGGCTTCGTTTCTTTTGTATATACTTTTCTTCTTGTTGTTGTGTCATTGAATTTGGTGTATGTCCTGTTGTAGAATGTGTTGAGGAATTATATACTTCGAGAAAATGTTTCATTGTTTCTTCGGTAAAGTCTCGCTCTTGGTTTAAATCTCTGAGAGTCCTTATGAAGCGGTTTATGATGCCGAGTATGTTATGGTTATGGTCTTCAGTAGTGTAGTGAGTTATGTTATGCTTAATGAGAAATTCTGTGATTTCATTGCTGAGGTATGCACTGTCTTGGTCTGATGTTAAAGTACTTGGGTTATGTTCTGCTACAAACTTTTGTAAAACTCTTAACACTTCACGAGTTCCTTTATTTTTCATTGGATATGCATATGCTTTACGAGTGTTAACATTTATGAAGATGAGGAATGGTTTATGTCCTCCTTTTCTGCTTTGAATGAGAGTGTCAAATTGGTATGCGTCAGGAGTGTTGGAGTAAATTGGTAAAAAGTAGTCGTAAGGGTTTATTTTTGTTTGATGTACAACATTTTTGTCAAAGAACCTTTTCACTTCAGCTCTGTTAGTAAATCCCCGACTCTTTGCAGCTTCATTGAACTTCTTAAATGACCTCCATGGATGTTGTTCGAATACTTCTTTCAAGCTCATTTATGTAAAGTTAAAGAGTTTAACCAACTCGTATCCAAGCGTGCATTGTTATATAAGGAGGCATATAATCTTTTCCATTACCTGCTGGGTCTGTAATACCAGCTACAACATGTGTATGATTTCCTGCAGTTCCACAGAAAATACCTGTGCTTGAATCTACTGGGTCAGTTGAAATATCATATCTATGCATTCCCTGTCTATCCGAACCCGCTGCAAGATTTGTATAACCTCTTTTTGTTATTGAATGTGAATGGTTTCCTTCCACAGATGTTCTTCCACTGAACCTATGCATATGTGAAGGAAGGTTTTCAATACCTATTTTCTTTGAACCTCCCATCTTCATTGACTGCGTATTAGTGTAGAATGGAAAACTGTCAACTATTTCATACCATCTACCACCAAATAAAGTGTTTGGATTTATTGGATTCATAGACGTATAAACAGCTCCTATAGGATATATTAAATCATATATGCTCATAACTCTATAAACATATTCTAAAGAACTTATGTCATTAAATACCATTTGGAATGTATCTCCCGGATGAAATGTTGCATTTGTTCCACTTTTATAATGTAATGTTAGTTCAATAGAATTATCCAAGAAAAATTCAAAAGTATCTGGTTGAAGACCTCTAACAAATTCAAATGGAGTTGCTGGTTCACCATTTATAATTTCTGTTGTAAATGTCATTGTATCTGGTTTCGAAAATTTCTTTGTTAGTTCTGCATCCACATAAGTTTTATCTGCTTTCTTATCTAACATTGTTGGTAGTTCATGTGCTTCAAAGTTTCTGGCATGACTTTCAATGTTCCTGCAACTCTTATCTAAACTGTTAAGAGTATCTTTTACGCTTGTACTTGGATTTTCTAATGGTGCACTTGAACCAAGGTCAAAGTTCAATATTATGTCGTCTGCTCTAACAGTAGTGAAGGATTTATGTGTATGGTTCTTGTCAGCTTTACTGTCTAATGTAGCTTGAAGTTCATTTATATCGGAGATGTTGTGTTTATGAGATTTCAAAACTTTGTTCGTTGCTTCGAGTTCAACTTTGTCAGCTTTACTTTTAATAGCATCTTCAAACGTTATTTTTGCCTTAACTCTCAAAGTAAATCTTGGTTCAACTAATACACCGTTAACATTGAAAGTAGAGGCATAAATTTCACCGGTATAACCAAATGCTTCTGGTGCTTTAGCTACATCATACTGTACAGTACAGCTTATGTCATAACCTTTAGCACGAATGTATTTATATCTTCTTTCATTAACATTTTTTGTCTTCGCTTCATCACTTCGTGTTAAATATCCATGGTAGTCCGTTATAATCTGTTCGTCTGAAGTTATATAATGAACATGGTTCTTGTCCGCTTTACTATTTAATGTAGCTTGAAGTTCATTTATATCGGAGATGTTGTGTTTATGAGATTTCAAAACTTTGTTCATTGCGTCAAGTTCATTTTTGTCCGCTTTACTATTTAATGTAGCTTGAAGTTCATTTATATCGGAGATGTTGTGTTTATGTTCTTTATCTGCTTTTTCGGCTAATTTCTCTTCTATCTCATTTATTTCAAGTTCATGCCTACCACCACCTCCCGAAGAAGTATTTTTCTTCAGCTCTTGAAGAACGTCCACTTCGCCATCTTTGGTGTCAATAATGAGACTTTGAGTTAAAACCTTTCCTGTCTTAATGGATGTTTGTAAAACTTCTTCTTCACCGTGTTCGGGGTCATGGTCGTCATCATATCTTGTGAAATCAGATATGTTGTCATACATTAACATATCTGTCTCAAAAGTTCTGCTATTTGAAACTGGAACGAAAGATATACAGAACTTTCATCATCTCCTAAAGTCAAGTCTGCTTTCTTAAGTATTTCTTGAATGTATGCAATGAGAACAGAGTACCTTGGAAAATATTCGAACAATATTTCATTAGCTGTTGGTTTTGGTGGTTCTTCTGGAGTTTCTGTTGTTTCAGTTCCTTCTGTAGGTTCTGTTGGAGTTTCTGCATCTCTTGACTTCAATGCTCTTGCTCTCAAAGACCTAAATGTTAGAGCACCGGGTTTTACAAAGGACTTTATAAATGCTTTAATAGTTCCTGGTAAGTTATTGTTAGCATTAAGTAAGTTCCTTATGCTTCCATCATGTACGTCCATAGCACTATGTAAAAAATCTATACTTTTCTTGTAGTCAGCAATAGACTGACTGTGATTTTTTAAAGATTTGTCAATACCTTTAAGCCAATCTTCATGCATGTCTGATACTGAGCCAAGAATATCATTTGCTTCCTTTAGTGTATTTTGTGCTTGTCGTAAAGTATCCAATCCCGTACGTGCATTGTTTGCTATACGTCTTACAGTATCTATTTGACTCCTTGTTTCTTGCATCCAACCAGATAAAGTTTTAATAGTATCCGAACCATTTGAAATGAAGTTCAAAGCATTTTTAACGTCATTTAAAACTTCTTCACCAAGTACCGCCCATATCTTTCCGATTTGGTATTGAAGAACTCCATATGAAGCAGCTGTTAAACCAGTATTTATAAGGTCCCATATCCATGATTTAGCAGTTTTTCCATCCTTTCCATCCTTTCCATCCAAACCGTTTTCGCCTTGAGGTCCTTGAATTCCTTGTATTCCTTGTATTCCTTGTATTCCTTGTGGTCCTTGAGGTCCGGTGTCACCCTTCTCTCCTTTCAGTTCATCTTTATGTTCGTTATAATATTCTAATGTCATAAGGTGTACATCATTACTGCTACCAGCAACGCCAAGAATTTGTTTCTCATTCATGACTAAATTCTTTAGGCATTTAATGTTGTCGTCAAATCGAAAGCTCTTTAACAATTCAATGAGAACATTTAATACTTTCACTAATGAGGCATCTACTGTAGAATTTATATATTGCACCGTTCCATCATTTATGATAGGAACCTTGCTTGTTGTAATGAATGGGTCATAAGTGTTAAAAGTATCGAAATCAATGACTTTTTTAGTTTTTCCATCGTCAATGACTAAATCATTGCCTTCAATGGTTAAAGTTGAGTTTTCGTTTACTAGTTCATGTGCTCTTCTTGCTTCATTTGTTTCATACGCATATGCAGCAATAGTCATATTTTAATGAGAATAAAATGTTGTTCTATTTGCAAAGTACAGACCCAAACGAATATGGAACAGTAAAGCTTCAAACAAACTTAGGTCTACAGAATGAAGCACTTGCTTTCAGAGTTGTTGACTTCAATACTATCGCAACTTTTGTCATAACAGATGAAACAGATTTCATGGAGTTTGAAATAGATGGAAAGAAGCACGAAATAAGATTTCACAATAATGTAGAATATAAGATGGAAACATTAGCTGGAGTGTTAAATGCTCTCATAAATACTACAATAAACAAGGATAACGAAGAAAACTTAATGAATGTTAAACTTATTGCAGGAGTTTTGAAGTTCAGTTATGTGAAGGAGTTTAAGATAACACGAATGAGTCATAGAGTTCAATTGCTTCTGGGAGCATACCATATGACATTTCCTTTGAAAAGTGTTGACAAAACGATTGAGATGAAATCTGTTCCATACGTATGTTATGGTAATTGTTTGTACATTGAGTCTAAAATAGCTAATGTCACAGGTATTTCAGGAGTTAATAGTAAAGGTTCAGTAGAATATAAGTCTTTCTGTTATGCAGTCAATTCAATGTTCATTCCAAACGTTCCTGTCATAGCAACTCATTTAGGTAAATGGATTCGCATTAGTCCTCATAATTTGAAAGACATGCAATTCAGACTTGTTGACTTTCAAGGAGAGCCTGTAGAACTGAAGGCACCAGTGCGAATGACTGTTGAAGTTGACTTTTTAGAAAATATTAAATGCAACAGCTTACAAGAGAACTCAGAGCTAAAAATATAAAGTATGAATGTTATGTATTAGGTCATGAACTTTGGTTGTTGCTGTTTGATGAAACAAATGAATTAGTTATGTCAGTCAAGAGAACAGAAAAAGGCGTCAAAGGCGCCGAGCGCAAAGCGCTATATTGTGTTAGTGAAAACTGCACCAAGTCAATAAGATTAGGTTTGCATTATGAAGATGAGTTCGATACTGTTGAAGAAGTTTTGGATAGATATTACAAATTGCTTTAATTTACTAAAACATATTTCAAGCAAAGTTTATATTCTGTTGAAAGTTTTGTATATTCATTCGAATATTTATACTTAAACTCAACTCCTGTAGTTCCTGGTGTTTCAATGATGCGGATGTTACCTATTTTCATGAATGGTGGCGTTTGACCACAGCATTCGATTTCAGGGTCGAGATAGTCAATGACACATTGTTTCCCTGTTATTCGTGAGATAACATTTTCAAGGTCCTCCTTTGTTAGAATTATTTGGTTCTTGCTTATAAGATTTGTCAAAAGCTTCTTATCGTCTTTGAGTAAAATTGTTTGGTATAACTGAAGAAGGTAATGGTCTACGTTATCTGAAGGATTTGTTTGAACATTTGTGTAAGGATTGTCGTTGGCTTCTCTTGAAAGAATTTGGTCCAGTGGTGGATACTCTAACTTAACATCTGATGTAGCGTTAGCGTTTGAAGCTGAGTTTAAATTCACGGATTTCAGTTCTGGTTCTTTTTCTTTCAAACACTCTGAACTATAGTTCTTTATGACAATATTGTTTGTCGTTCGTGAGTCAACATTTGATGTTGGTTCAATTGGAACATTAACGGCACCAGCTAAGATGGATTTGCTTCTCATTTCATATAGAATAAAAACCTTTTATATGTATGAAATGAACAATACACTCGACAAGGGTTTGAATGTAAAGCTAACGAATGAAAATATTGTTGAATTCACTGAGACAGGAGCTGTGTATAAAGATGTAGAACTACTGAACAAAAGAGCTAAGGGAAGAAGCAGGAACATGAACAAAGGGTGGAAGCCTATAAAAATTTATGTCAATGATGGCTCAGGAGGTTCAAACATAAAGTATGCAGAAAGTTATAGAGTTTATGCTCTCAAGGGAGAGAAGCCTTCATTTAAGAACAGCTATTCTAACACATATCCTCAAAAGCTAACGGATGGAGAAGTGGATGATATGAATGACAGCAAAAATATTAACAGAAATGGCGACAGAGATGCATGGAATTTGTTTACCATCAGTCAATTGAAGGTTAAACTTTAAAACAATGTTGGTCGTTCCCATGGAATATTTTTGACTTTAATGGTATTAGTCATGATATGAATCTCAAGGTATGAACGAGGAGAGATGAGAGACTTATATGCTTCCCAAATTTCTTCAAAAGGTAATGTTATACCTGACTGTTTCCAAATGAGTTCAATATCATAACGTGAGAAACCTTGAAAGATAACGAAGTCAGTTATGAGACGTTTTATGTTTAAAGCTAAAAACCTCCATGTTTGCATAAGTATTGCTACAGTTAAATGGTAATGTCTGACTTTAGTAATGATGTTAGCTAATGGTGAGTCTGGTTTTGACACTAAACCTTTTCCGGCGAAGTCGTCGCAAACTAACAAAGTATTTGAAGGATATTTTTTGAAGGGGTATTTTGAAAGTTTTGATAGAATGTAGTTTGTCAGTCGTTTCATATCGTAAACTCCTGAGTACTGACGTAAGTGGTGTTTGTCAATAATTCTTTCCATCTCCTCAGAAGTCTTTTGCATTCCTGACTGTATAAATTCAACGATGGCATAATATTTCCTCTTACGTCGAATGTAACGTTGAAGAAATTCAATGAGTTCACTGTCTGGAACTTTAACGACAGAGGCTTGAACTTTTGACATAAATGTTTTCGCTGTTGAGTCCATAGAGTCTGAAGTTGCTGATATAATGATTTGGTCATAGTAAGAGTCGTTTCCTAAACGCTCTGTTATGAGTATATGACGAATTAAATTAAATGTCTTACCTGAACCCATCTTTCCACAATAGAAATAAACGCCATTTGAACAGAACTCATAGTCCTTACTGAAAGGAAGAATGAGAGAAGAGTTAAGTTTGTCTGTAGTTTCATTCATGTCTTCATCTACGTCATGTATTAAATGCTTCATTTTATCTCCATTAAAAATGCAAGTCAGAAATATTCAGAACATAGCACCGAGTCTAACTGACAAGAGTATAAAGATATACTATGAACACGTTATGATGAAACCAACCAAAATTCAAGAAAGTCAGTATACTTATGAATATCCAAGGCACTGGGTAGAGTATGTAGGAGGTGAGAAAGCTATTGAAATCAGACAGGTTCGAAGTATTCCAGCAGGAAGAACAATATTATTGAAGAACTTTAATGTTTTGAGATATAATGATGAAACAAAGAAGCAAGATAGTTTTCCTGTTGCTGTGTATGTGAACCTAGACACAGGAGATGACATGAAAGTTTTTAACACAAAGCTTCAAACGGTAGTGAGAGAACAACTGACTGCGGAAGGACATCCATTACCTTCAGAAGTTACCATAGCATATAATTTTGAAACAAACTCAATAGATTTTAAAGTCATCTCTGCAAAGAAGTCAGGTTTTACATTTAATGAAGCAGATGTATATTCGAATGAAAACTTCAAAGCTATTGCATGGTTAGATAATGACGATTGCTTTAAGAAAATATTTAAATTCAGTGACTCAACGATGTCAATAGATGACCTTCGTGGAATGTTACCATCGACGTTTACAGTTGAAGGTTCAGCAGGATTGCTTACAAGATTGTCAATTGGTGGTATTTGGTCTCGTGAGAACATTGTTATAAAATCCAGTATAAGTGAATTTGCTGAAGAATCTATATTATGTCTTTCAAACTACATGTATTCGCCACCGAAGCATTATAGTATAACAAACTTTGTCAGTAAGTTTAACATAAGACTTGTCGAACCTTCTTCAATGAAAGATGTTGTGCTACCTAAAGATGGAAAGGATGGACTCATTATTGAGATGATTTTAATTGCATATTAAATGAGCTTGTTCTTGAAGGTCATTCATGATGAAATAACTGTTGTAGAAGATGTTAGCAATTGTTCAGACATTTTGAAGAATAGATGAGATAAGAAATAAGTTAGATAGACCGCAAAGCGGTGAGGGCGAAGCCCGTGAGAACGTTTATGTTTCATTGACTTTCTCCAGTAACGAGAACTTTTATGAGATAATATTGAAGAGAGATGATTTTAATATGGTGTAAATGGTAGCTTGGGCAGCTTTAGGCGCAATGGGAACAAAAGCATTAGCATTTGGAGCAAAAGCACTTGGAGCTTATGACGCAGTAAATAAAATGAGTGGAGGAAGGGTTTCGAAGACATTAGATGCAAATAAAGGGAAGATTGGAGGCTGGGTTGCAAAGAAGTTAAGATTAAATAAAATAGGGCTCATAAATAAAGCATCCAATTTGGTTGCGACTGAGTCAGAAAATGCTTTAGGAAAGGACGATGAGTTTGCAAAACACGCAAAAGACTTTAATGACCAGATGAAAGGTGAAACAATGCATTTAAATAGAGTCGATGGAACTCTTCCTCCACCAGTAGTTCTTCCGTATGGTCCCTATGGAATGTATGGAAACCCTTACGAAGACCATTTGACCCATTGACTGGTGGAAGTAACTGGTATCATTACGGCCGAAGAAGAAAGACAGTCAAGTTGGAGACAGACGTGAAGAAAGCAACTAAAAAGAAACCAAGGAAGAGAGTTATAAAGCAATGAATTCAACAGGGTGAAAAAAGGTGAAAAAAGAGGTGAGATCTCACCGCTTCACCTAAATTTATTTTTGTGCTATGTTTTCATACGTGTGGGGTGGTGATATCATTAATTTTTAATTTTATTTTTTATTTTATTTTTTATTTATTTTGGATGTAAATGACGAAAAACTATTGAGATAACAAACTACAACGGTCATGAGTTCAAGAATTTGTTCTTCGTTCCTCGTGAAAATACATTCTATCAGATACGAGGGAGAAAGGGTAAAGTTAGTTTGAGCGTTTATGACACAAACATAATGGAAAGTTTATACAAGCATAGATACAAACGGTAAACGTGTTTCATTAGCTTTGTCAAAACTTACTAACATTTATTTTGACAGTGATTTTTGACTCTGACGATTTGGAGCGACAGCAGCGATACTGAAGAATATGAACTATTGTGTGAAGCACAGCAATGGGAAGAGTTGCAATACTTTTGTAAGTGAGAACATTAGTGGGAACGTTAGTGAGAACGTTTATTTTTCATTAAGTGAAGTCGTTCGAAAAAATGTTGGTGAGGTGAAGTGGTTGGCGGCTTTGTAAATATTTAAGGTTAAGTGAGTGTTGTCGTTTTGTGTTGTAAAATATACGTTACTGGTTTTGTAAATATTTAAGGTTATATTGGGTAAGGTGGAACGCAGTGCCGCCGTACCCAAGATAACCATACTAACTTTCTTTGATATCTTAATTGTGCTAATATCCTTTATAGGATTTATTTTTGCAACTGTTCCGCAGCATGAAACCTCATCATCTATGAAAAATTGAATCTTAACGTCTGAATCTTGAACATCACAAAGAATGGCGATAATGTGAATTAATGATTCATAAGGTAAAATAATTAAACCAGATTGATCAATTAAATTTATTATTGAATCATAATTATCAGTTATTATATCACGGTAAATTTTCATTAATTCAGAATTAATGTCTATTTTATATGGCGCATTGCGACTGTAATCGTAGATTCCTGGGTTCTCGATGTTTGATGAAAGAGGTGGGGGGTATGTTGGATAAGTGGGAATTTCAACAGGTTCTTTACCAGGTTCAGATAAAATGATTGGGTCTCCATTCTCATGGTTTTTCATTCTCATCATTCTTCGGTAAGTCACGAGTTAATAAATTTGGTTGAGTTGCTGACCTTGTTAATTCAGGACTAACATTAACTTTAACATTTTGAATAATTCGTGATTTATCATCATTTACGTTATAACCAACAGTAATCTCTGCTTTTGCGTTAGTGTTCTTTTGACTAGTGAAACGTCTTTCTCATTTATATTCGAATAAAAAAATATATTTAAACTTTTATTTTGCTGGAACTTTTGAATTCTATTATTTCCTGTATTTGTTCATGAAGTTGATTTTTAGCATTTTCATCGAAATTAATAGACCGAATATATTCATTAATTGCATTCTTATAATCATCTGATTTCTCAAATTTTCTTTTATCTGATTCCTTAACTAAATCATAAGTTAAACCTCGTTGCTGATATAATGGTTTCTTAATTAAATCTTTGAATGCTTGAGATAAAGCACCTGATGCAATTCTTGCTACTATAATTGGTTGGAATTGCTGTTTAAGTTCATCTTTAACATTTGCGAAAACTGGATCGAATAAAGCAACTTTAAAGAATTTCTTAGCTGGAATTTCAGATCTCAAATTTGCATATTGACCATCAAACTGGTTAGAATATCGTGGTAATCCATCCGGTCCTTCTTCAATAGCATTTAATTCTTCATTGAAGTAAGAATATGGATTATGACGGTATGAATTAATTGGACCATTTTCACCTTCTCCAATGTATTGTTTAACAGCTTTTCCATTTTCATCAAATTGCATAGGATAATGTTCATTATATGCTTTACGTTTAGGATAATCCGTCTATGTTAATTTATACCCATTTATGACTTTAATATTTCCTTACATCAGTAACGAAAACTTCATTTATTCCATCAGGTTTTCCATTTGACCCGTAATGTCTGCTTCGTGTGCTTCCAATTTGGTCCGTGACGTTTGGCATATGCTTGAGCTTCTGGTAATGTTAAAACGTTTCTCATTTGTTTAACATCCTTTTGAAGACCAGCAACAATATGAACTAATTCTTTCATTCCGTCTGGAACTTTCATAGTTCTATTATATGCACCCTTTTTGTTTGTTCCTTGTTTTAATGGAACCTGTAGAAGATTTGCAATTTCTGTCATGTTTAATTATAAATAAAAAATAAAAATTAATTATAAAAAGTTATTCGAATTTAACACATCCTTTATTTAAATCAACTATTATTTTTCCATGTTCTCCTAATTGTTGATATTGTGTGTAAAGTTCATTAATGCTCATTGGTAAATTCACTTGATAAAGCATAACGTTCAACTGTTGACGACTAAAACCACTGAAAATGAAAAGGGTGGACAGGTTTGATTTAATGTTTGTGCTTAATGCTTTGAAGTATTGAACAGCCATGAAGAATGAACACTGAATGTGTCGACATTGAGTTAATAACTGATTAAAATATGATTTCTCATTTGTTATTAGTTTTGATTTCACCGCATCATCTAGAAAAATGAGTGAATGCAAAAATTCTCTATCAAAATTTGAAATAGAAAGTGTTTCAAATAATTCATCCCGTTGTTTATCAATAATTTTATCCTCTAATCCTTGCTTCTTGATTGTATTATATAATTCTTTATACATTACAAAGTTTTTTAAATAATCTTCTGCTTCTTCTTGTGATAAATAAATAATTGGAATTTTGATTAAATGCTTTAAAGATTCAAATGTATCATCTGAAGGTGAACCTGAACGGTTGATATAAATTAACACATGTGAATAGGGTGAAGTGTTAGCAATAATGATAATTTGTTTTAATATCGTTAATGTTTTACCTTTATTCTGTTTACCAATTGCTGCAGTGATTGAATTTAAGTAACATTCAGAATATGGAATTTTCATTAATTTTTCCTTAGATAGAGCATTTCTATTATCACTCAATGCTTCATTAATCATATCATCTACGTATGTATTATATACTCCCGCTAATTCTTCAGAATTTAAATCCATTTAATCAAAAATAAATTTATAATTTTATACATTTCTATTCATCAATATTTCATCATATGAACTTCTATACTGCGGTGGTGTACCTGTTGGATGATATTTCAAACCTTCATCCGGTGTCCATGTCCAATATGTAGTCCTAGTAAACCAAACCTGAGGAGGATTTGTCACTTTTGAACAGTAAGTGTCATTTTCACCCTGAATGATTGGATAAGCTTTCACTTGTACTGTAACTTGTGAGTTGAAAGTTTCTAATCCATCAAAGAATATACCCGCTCCATCACGTTGAACTGGAATAGTGCATAAGAATGAAGTTTGGTCTTTCCATGTTCTAGCTAATGGCTTGCCATCATCATCATTCAGTGGTCTAGTTAATGAGTCCTCGTATTCTTCCGTGCATTCATTCACTCCATCTAAATCAGAAGCTTGAAGCATACGTGTAAAGAATATGTCACCCACTGTGGTCATCGCTTGATCGGGGAAGTTTCTGGAATCTATAGTGACCTGAAGACCTCGAAGCATTGGATTTTCTAAAACCGTTCTTTGCATTGCATTCTTCGGAAATGTTAACACAACATCTGTAACATTATGAAGAGCGTATGAGAAATCTGAGCTAATACCTTCAGGAGTGATGCAACCTCCATTTAGTGAACGAACGTCAATATGTTGAGCTGGAATCATGAATGGATCTTCCTTACTGAATAAACGTGGTATTGCTTTAACTGATTCTTCAATTAAACCGTATCCTGGTGTAATGCATTTATCCTCTAAAACTTCCATCTTTGTGCATGAAATAATAACGTCTTCAACTGTTGCGTCAGCAGATGTAGCGGTTAAGCTTGTAATTAATTTGGTAGAAAGTCCGATTTGTTGGAATTTGCGATCATATTTATAAACATGATTCATAATCTTTTCATAATTTTCATCAGTTATCTTTTCATAAACGTAATTTTGTAAATCAGCAACTCTTAACGGGTCAACCTGACAAAATACTAAAGTATCCCTGAAAACATAATATTTAAGAATGATTTCACCAAATGATTTAGGATAATCATCGAACGCCTGAAATGCTAACAAATCATTTACCGGAATAATCATATCAAAAGTGATATCAACTTCTTCATTTGCTTTCTTGAAAACTTCTGAAGGGTCAATATATTTACCACATACTGAGTTATCATATTTTTGAACATTATTATATAACGAATGAACAAACTTTTTAACTTTCCTTTCTGATTTTGGTTTATATGTTGCAAATGCGAAAGATTCACGGGCGCAATCCATCTGAAGATAACCGGCATCACCTCTTTCGGTTTCTACTTCTAATTGTTTAAAGCTTTGATTTGATGATTTATAACCAACGAATAAACGCATACATTTAAAAGCGGCATCACATGTGAAAGCTTTATTTGAAACTAGAGTTGCTTTAACTTTGCGTTTAATATATGTGTCACCTAATTGGTTCACATCATGAGCCGGATTTGTAATTCTTAAATGAGTTTGTTTATCATCAAAATATGGAGTATCAGAGTCATAGCATGAACTTTCAAGTTCTCTATAATATCTTCTTCCATCATTCTTTGCGAATATTTCATTTATCTTTTCGAATGAATGAAATACATTTCCATTAATCGGTTTAGTATTTGGCACCAAATAGTTAGTCGTCATTTATTATTAAATAAAAAATCAAAATTAAAATATGAAAATGAATTTTTAATTTTAATGAAATAATCAACTATGGCTGCAGGATTCTTTAAGAAACTGTGGGATAAAGTAAAAAGAGGAGCGCATAAAGTTTGGGAAACAATGAAGAAAGGAGCGAATTGGATATTTAAGAATAAAGAAGCAATTAGTGATGTTGCTGAATCAATAACGCCAAAAGCTGCCCCAATAAGAGAAATTTTAAATAAAGGAGAAAAAGTTTATCAAAGACTACAACCGATACTAAGATAAAAATAATATTTATTTATTTTTCCACTATTTACCCCCTATTTTATTAAGTATTCCTTCAGCAATTCCACCAATTGCGTTACCTGCTTGTGCTCCCATCGCCGGATTACCTGCTTTAGTACCTAATACTCCACCTATGATAGTTCCTGCCGTTTTCGCTACTGGTGCCAAAAAGTTTGCAACAGGTTTAATAACCTTTTTATAAACCCAACCTGCAGCTTTCTTAATTCCATCCCATAATTTTTTAAAGAATCCTGCCGCCATTTCTGATTTAATATTAATTAAAAAATATATTTCATCACTTATATTCTAATTTTTATTTAATGATAAATGAAACCAATTTTAAAAATAAATGAAACAGAGGAGGAAGAAATAAATGAAAGTGAAAATGTTCAACAAAAAATAAATGTTGTTAAACCAATTACTGAAATAAAAATTTTTTCATCTGTTGATGAATTTAATGACTATTATGCTAATAATAAAAAATTATTTGAAGAATTGACAACATGTAAATTGAATAAAATGTTTAAAGTTGAGGACAGAGTCCAAGACCCGGAGGGTCATGGATTCAAAATTTCAAAAATAAAAGGAGTGGTTAGTTTGAAATCTATTCCTCAATCAAGAATCACCTCATTAATGAAAATTGATGATTTAACAAAAAGAATAGAAATTATTGAAGAGCGAATAAATCAAATTATTGATTTCATAAATTCAAATAATCATTAGCTTATTTAAAGTTCATTGTTGATTCTGAGACATGAATTTTTAAAGTTTATTTTTTTATTTTTTTTATTTTTTTTATTTCATTATGTATGGGTTTAGTGAAAATTTCTTACGATTCTGAAAATTTTTAAATCTTGATTTATTCAAAAACGTAAGAATAAAAACCGTAAAAATCATACATTTTTTACTTCATATGTTAAAAAAAATGATACAAAATCACTCGATATTGTATGAATTCTTACGTTTACAAAAAATTATTCAAAAATGTAAGACATGAATTTTTAAAGTTTATTTTTCATTCATGAATGATAATTATATCTGATTTCTTTTACTCTCTCATACATACTAGATTTGAAGAATTCGGAACTTTTACCATAATCTCCTAAATGTTTTCTTATCCCCAACGTGTGCCAGTTATTATATGAAACTGAATAAACTTTATCTTTATCTTTACACCTTTCATCACTTCCAATATATTTATATCTCAGTTTTGATTTAGCATTTTCATATTCATTAACGTTTAATAATTCACAGTCTTCCTTTTTAAATTGATGTTTAAGATATTCAGGATTTAATACTCTACGTTTATATGCTCCTAACTTAGTTCTAATGGTTTTTCTACAAAATTTAGGAATTCCATCCTCTTTAATGTCATCAATGATTTCCATTTCATTATTTTCAATTTCTTCTTCTCGTTTATGAGGTCTTTGATTATGACTCCATTGATTCCATGAAATTAAATATTCTTTATCATTATATTTATACCTCATTAGCTTATTTTGGCTTTCATATTCATTTAATAATTCACAATCTTCATTTTTAAATTGAAGTTTAACCCATTCAGGATTTAAACAATGTTTAATTAATCGCGGAATATCTGACATCATCTATATATAGCTTCTTTATAAAAGATAAAAAATTAAATTATTTTAAAATTAATGTTAATTTTTTTAATGATTTATAAATAAATATATTTTAATGCATCGTCTATATATAGATGAAACAAAAAAAGTCACTAAACCCGCACTCATATACTACTACGATATTGAAAAAAATTGCAGGTATCGAATAAACGATTCAGAAACTGGAACTCATTTAAATGGATAAGAAATGATTTTGAGAGCGTGAAAACGATGCAAATTTTTTGTCAGAATAAAACTTCCGATATCTCCTGGGAAGAAGCATTTCCCGGATCAAGCTATATTGAAGAGCATCGTAACAATGGTACTGAATTTTCAAGATCAGGTAGTTCAAATTACTTCGTTTCAAGCTGTTATTTTCTTGGATTAACAGACGGTGCTGTTGGAATTGGTTCAGGAGATGATGGTAAATTATATGCTACCACAAATAAATTTGATTCATGTTCCTCTGGATCAGGTGGAGGATCTCTATACTTTGGCTTCGATGGACAGATTGTCCAATCAAAAAATTCATACTTAAATTCATCAACTGGTTATTCTGGAAGTTCTTTTTATGCAGCTGCTTCTGAAACTCCAGGTTCCAAAAATCATGCAAATGAAACAATAGTATGCAATTGTGTCAGTATAAAATCAGACGCTATTACTACAGCTCTAATGATTAAAGGATTTTGTATCCTGAATCATTGTAATATTACTCACAATTACATTGATTCATATGGAGGCTATGATATAGATAGGATCACCTCTGATTCATACATAATTTGTGTCAATATCATTGAGAACAATCAATCATCCGATAATTTTAATTATCACTCATCATCTGATTCATATAAATCATCAATATTTAAAGTTACTTCGTGTAATTATATAAGAAATAAAAGTCCAGAAGGTGGTTTTCTGATTCGTTCTTATTATTCTAATGTTTTCATGAGTTATTGTTGTATTCGTGAGAATGAAGTTTCTCACATTTTTTATGCAAATGATTGTATAATAACATTTGAAAATTCAACAATAGATAACACTGAAAGTTTAAGTAGTTCATCTCTTGTATTTAAGAATACAAATATTTCATTTGGAAATACTTGTTATTTTTTCAAAAGTCGACCTTTAATGAAAGGTGAAGATGAGATCGAAAATAATGCTTATGTTAAAAACCATATTAAATTTTTCTATTTGTTCTTGAATTCCAAATTCTTGAAGAATAAACATTGATGTATGTTATGGTACTTCTCATTATATCGCATTTGAAAGTTCAAGGAAGAAACAGTCAAAATTATTTAGAAATTCTTCAAGATATTTGAAATCCTTTCATAAATTTAATCCGCGTATTAAATACTTTCGATATTCTTTTCATAGTAATGCAATTGTTGATACCATAGGTCGAAAGTACAATTCTATATAAAATTATCAAAAAATCTACCATACTGATTGGTATTGTTTAACCAAATTTAATATGCGATCATTGCTGGTTATATGTATGGGGAAAAATGATCTTCAAATCTCCAAAATCGCAAAAATTAGTCAAATCAAAAATATTATTAGCTAATTTTTACTAATTCTTATATATTATTTGATTACCTTTGATTTAAAAATTTCATTTCCATTAAAATAATTGATTTACCCTACATGTCAAATTTTGAAGATAAGTCAAAATTAAAAATTTGATTGAAAAATTTTAAAAATTCACTCATCCAAAAGCAAAAATATATAATCCTGGTCATACAAATCAATCATCCTAATGTTCGCTATCTTAATTATTCAGCTAATGGAAGATAACCAAGCATATAAGCATTATGAAATACTTATGGATAAGTACAAGGGATACATTGAAACTGTGGATGCAATTTATAGATTGGATTCGGATAAAATAAACTCAACAGCAGAATTATACAAGGAGATCAAGGATAACTTGATTGATGCAGGATATTTTACAGCACAAAAGATGATGGATACATTAAACTCTATTGGTCAAGATAGATTACGTTATCGTCATGCATACGTAGAGTTGATGAATAGAATTTATCAAGAATATCATTGTGATATCAATCCTGATAACTTAACTCTTTCAAATTATGACACTTCTATCACAAACACATATCTTGATGCAATATTGAAGGATGATGAAGAATCTCTAAGTGAATTCTTGAAACATGAGAGCCTTAATCTCAGTGATTTACTTAAAACATGTTGTTTTCATGGAGCATTTAACTGTTTCAATTTATTAAGAACAGAATTCAAAGTTGAAATCACAAAAGAATGTCTTGATGCTTCATTTCGTGGAGACAATCAATATATCATAAATGAATGTTTGAAAGAACAAAAACCTGATTCATTAACATATAATGCTGCAATTGCATCTCATAATACTGAAAATATTCTTAAATTGATAGATGAATTCAACACATCTTTATATATAGGCAGTAATAATTTTCACAATCTTCATTCATTTCTTATTTATTTGAATCAAACTAATGATTTCAACACATGTTTTGTATTTTCTCCGTATTATAGAATTCCGTCTCTATGTGAATATTTGCATTTAAATGGTATAGATATTAATGCAAATTGTAGTAATTATACAGCCCTCCATTTAGCTGTTTATGCAGAAGAAACATCCATTATAAAATATTTGATTATGAATGGAATTAATATTGATGAAACATGTACAAACTTTGGAACTGCTCTTAATTTAGCCCTATCTCGTAATTTGACAGATATCGTGGAGTTACTTGTTTCAAATGGAGCCAATATCAATATCAAAGATGAAATTGATAATATGTCAGCACTTCAATATGGAATCATAAATAATAATAAGAAAGTTGTTGATATTTTAATTTCACACGGTGCTGATCCGAATGAAAAAAATTGATGGTGTGAACATTCTTAAATATATATTTGCATTAAATCTAAAAGATATAGCACAACTTCTTATTTCACGTGGTACAAACATCAATGAGACAGATATATATGGACATAATTTAATTATCTATACACTGCTGCATGGTCATAAAGATATGTTTGAATTTCTAATTTCAAATGATATAAATGTCAATGCGAAAAATATCAATGGAAATACACCTCTGCATTTAGCAGCATTATTGCCTAACACAGAATATGCAGAAATATTAATATCACACAATGCTGAAATCAATTCATTGAATAAATATGGTCAAACTCCTCTTGATATTGCTGTCATACGTTCTAAGAGCGAACATTGGTGTTTTATCAAACTTTACCAAAAAATATTGAATTTTCTTCAAAAAAATAAGCAATATTCTCACGATACTATGACGGAGAAAAACAAAATGGAATCTCTCTTAAGATCTCATGGTGGAAAAATAAATTCGAACCGAAGACTCAATTCTTTTTTCAAATGCAATATTTCAATTGATGAATATCTCTACCCGATATCGCCAGTTTTAAAAATAATTCATGGTTCGTTAGAGTTATATATTTCCTTTATAATTTACTGTACAATAGATACACATAATATTCTTATTCGGATCTTTTTACAAGAAATTGTATTTATATTTTCCCATTCATCGATAATTGAATATTTTTTAGACTATTTATGTGATGGATTATGTTCAATTTTTGGAACGGATAATTGAAAATACGCCAAGTTTTTTCATAAATTTTACCATTCTTCTATTATGTTTAATAAACGAATTATATTACAAAAGCATTTTATTTGATTTAAAAAAGGTTCTGCTTTGAAAAATAATAATTTATACCAAAATCAACTATTAAAATATGACGGGAGAAATATTAAGAGTTTTGAACAAAGAAATGTTGAAATTAGCCATCCTGCTGACATCAGTTCTTTGAATCAGTTTGTAAGTATATTTCATGCAGGAGTTGACTCAACTTCTTATTTCACATGCCATTTTTAATCATTATTATGGAAATAATGTCATTTTTAAGCATTATTATGCTATTATTAAAAAAAATGGAATTCTTCGTTAATATTTTGCAATCATCTTTCAATTTATCTGAGCAATATAAAAATTCTTTAATCGTAGAATGCAAAAGCAATGATATAATTGAACTTCTGGTTCCAAACGGTGCAAATATCAATGGAAATACACCTCTGCATTTAGCAGCATTATTGCCTAACACAGAATATGCAGAAATATTAATATCACACAATGCTGAAATCAATTCATTGAATAAATATGGTCAAACTCCTCTTGATATTGCTGTTATGCGTTCGAAGTTAGAACATGGAGATTTTCTCAAACTTCACGAAAATCGCAAAAATATCTTTGGATCTTTAAATGAAGAAAGTGAAATGGAATCTCTCTTAATTGCACATGGTGAAAAAAAATCTGCTAATATGGGTAAACTCAAAAGAAACAGTGGTGTTGATATAATATTTGATTATTTCTTTCAGAATTCTAATTTTGGAAACAGTGGAATCACAGGATAGTCTGTTTAAACAGATATCTTTGCATTAATTACTCAATTCAATGTTGAAATAAATTCTTTGCTTATCTGAAGTCTGAACTCACAGCAATTCTGAATTTTTAAGGTCAAACAGCTTAAATTATTATGTTTCAAGCTGTTTATTTATTTAATGAATTAAAACCAAATGGAGTGATTCGAATTTCCTAAGAAAAATATATTACGATAATGCATATGTAACATCAAACCAATTCGAGTCATGTGCCTCCGGAAAACAAGATGGAGGTTCTCTCTACTTATTTCTAAGTGGAGAAATTATTCAAACAAAAAAATTCATACCCGAAATCTACAAATTGGGACATGGGACTTCATTTTCTATAAGAGTATCACCATTACTAAGTTACAGAAATTTTGTAAACGAAACTTTAGTTTACGATTGCGGCAGCTTAGAAAAATGTTGTTTAGAGACACGTTCCATAATTATTGATCTTTGTATCATGAATCAATGCAACATTACAAAAAATCGAGTCAAAATTTCAACAGAGAGTTATAGTCTTCTTATTTCTTCTGATTCATTTGTGTCTTGTGTCAATGTCATTGATAACAATCAAACCGACAATGATATGAATTCACACCAAATTTTTGTTTATTCTATAGCATTTACGTTTACATCATGTAATTTTATAGGAAATAAAGGGGATGATCTTTGGTTTGCTTTATTCGCTGTGTAAGTTTGATGATTTATTGTTGTTGTTGTTGTTTTTTCCTGGAATCAAGAGATTATCACTTTTCAAATTGAATATTCTATAATAACATATGAGAATTCAACCACAGATAGTGAGTCAACTATTGCGGATTTCGATAATTCAGTAAAATATAAAAACACAAAATTGATGCCTTTGTTTGTTAAATTTGCAACATGTCCTCTTCTGGTAACTCCATTAATTGATAGTATTGAATCAGTAATGACCGACAAAGAAATCATTTACCATTGATTTGTTTCTTCAAGAATTTTAATATAATTTTAAACAGTCCGAGTCTTTTTAAAAGATTTTCTCTCCAAAATCATCACAATTTTGACAAAAACTAAATTAAAGATTATCTTGTACCAATCTGAGTGTATTATACAGTTAACTGACATGAAATTTGTACAGCTTTCAATTTTGAACACGATATACCATTTATGGAAAAAATTGCACTTTCGCAACACAATTTTGACATTCTCTCAAAATAATTGAATTATTTATTAGCAAATGAAAATGAAAACTCATATGATCAAGATTATTTATTTTTGCTTTTTGTTTAGTAAAATTTTAAAAATTTTCAATTGTGAGTTTATAAAGTAAATCTGACATTTAGTTTAAATCAATCATCTTAATGTTAGCTATCTTAATTATTCAGCTAATGGAAGATAACCAAGCATATAAGCATTATGAAATACTTATGGATAAGTACAAAGGATACATTGAGACTGTGGATGCAATATATAGATTGGATTCGGATAAAATAAACTCAACAGCAGAATTATACAAGGAGATCAAGGATAACTTGATTGATGCAGGATATTTTACAGCACAAAAGATGATGGATACATTAAACTCTATTGGTCAAGACAGATTACGTTATCATCATGCATACGTAGATCTGATGAATAGAATTTATCAAGAATATCATTGTGATATCAATCCTGATAACTTAACTCTTTCAAATTATGACACTTCTATCACAAACACATATCTTGATGCAATATTGAAGGATGATGAAGAATCTCTAAGTGAATTCTTGAAACATGAGAGCCTTAATCTCAGTGATTTACTTAAAACATGTTGTTTTCATGGAGCATTTAACTGTTTCAATTTATTAAGAACAGAATTCAAAGTTGAAATCACAAAAGAATGTCTTGATGCTTCATTTCGTGGAGACAATCAATATATCATAAATGAATGTTTGAAAGAACAAAAACCTGATTCATTAACATATAATGCTGCAATTGCATCTCATAATACTGAAAATATTCTTAAATTGATAGATGAATTCAACACATCTTTATATATAGGCAGTAATAATTTTCACAATCTTCATTCATTTCTTATTTATTTGAATCGAACTAATGATTTCAACACATGTTTTGTATTTTCTCCGTATTATAGAATTCCGTCTCTATGTGAATATTTGCATTTAAATGGTGTAGATATTAATTCAAAGTGGAGTAATTATACAGCCCTTCACTTAGCTGTTTATGCAGAAGAAACATCTATTGTAAAATATTTGATTTTGAATGGGATTAAAATTGATGAATCATGTCCAGACTTTGGAACTCCTCTTTTTATAGCACTAGCGCTTAATTTGACAGATATCGTGGAGTTACTTGTTTCAAATGGAGCCAATATCAAAGATGAAATTAATAAAATACCATCACTTCTTTATGGAATTAAATATAATAATGAGAAAGTTGTTGATATTTTAATTTCACACGGTGCCGATCCGAATGAAAAAATTGATGGTAAGATCCTTCTTGAGTATATATTTTCATTAAATCTTAAAGATATGGCACAACTTTTTATTTCACGTGGTGCATACGTCAATAAGACAGATATTTATGGAAATAATTTAATTATCTATACACTGCAGCATGGTTATAAAGATCTGATTGAACTCCTGATTTCAAAAGGTGCAAATGTCAATGCGAAAAATATCAATGGAAATACACCTCTGCATATAGCAGCATTTTTGTCTAACACAGAATATGCAGAAATATTAATTTCACATGGTGCCGAAATCAATTCATTGAATAAATATGGTCAAACTCCTCTTGATATCGCCGTCATGCGCTCGAATATAGGACATTGGGGTTTTCTCAAACTTTACCAAAAAATATTGAATTTTCTACAAAAAAATAAGCAACATTCTCTTGATACTATGACGGGAAAAAACAAAATGGAGTCTCTTTTAAGATTTCATGGTGGGAAAATTAATTTTAACCGAAAACTCAATTGTTTTTTCATATACAATGATTCAATTAACAAGTATCTCTACCCGAAATTGCTATTCATAAAAGTAATTCAGTGTTTGTTAGAGTTTGTTCTTTCGTATCTAATTTTGAGTTATTTAAATATACAGAGTATTCATATTTATGTCTTGTTACATGAAATATTATCTTTGTTTTCCTATTCGTTTATAATCGAATTTATTATAGACCTTTTTTAGTCAATTCTATGGGCGATTCTATAGTGGACAACACCGACACATTTTACAATTTGAATCCACAATTAGTTAGTATCCTATATTTAAATCATTGATTTAGAACGAAACATCCGTAAAAAACATAATGGTAAGGATTAAATATTTTAAAAACAATCCCATTCCCACCATTGACTTGGAATGAAATACATAATGTATGATGAAGATTAAGTAATAATATTAATAAGATCTCAATGCATCAGAACGCAATATTGATAAAAAAACATAATAAAGATTAAATAATATTATTTTTAATATTTATTATAAATCAAACAATCCCATTCCCATCATTGCTTTAACACGAAGTACTCTTAAGTGTCTGACAGTTTCAAGTTCTGTTGCCATCTTTGCTTTAGAAGCAATCTGTATAACGACTTGCTCGAATGTTTCATTGGAAGCCTGTTCGATAAGCATCGAGCAAAGACCTTCAAGATCGTTTGCACTGATGCAAGGGAACCTCGAGCAGATCTCATGAGCAACAACTTGACCAAGTGCTGTAGCGTTGTTCACGCCGTCAACGAGAGAAACAGGGCAGTCCTGTGCAACAGAGTACTGTATCAAAAAGCTCGCGATCTGTGACAATTCCGCGAATGCACCGCGATGACTTGGTTCGCATGCCGCGCAAATTGCGCAAACAACAATCTTTCCGATGTGCTCGCGCATCAAGTTCTGGCGGTCTGGATGGAGACTCCACTTGTTAATGATGCATGTAAGAGCAAGAAGTGACTGTTTGTTGATCTGTTTGGAGATAAGAATCTCAAGTGAAGTGATATCTTCTGAAGTAATGAAATTTATGTCTTTCTCTGCGATTGTTTGCAGTAACTCGGGTAAAGTGTTTGCGTACTCGAGACTGAGAGTGCCTTCGCCAACAAGATTCTCTATTATGTTAAGAACAAGATCTCGAACTTGAACAATAAGAGATTTGTCAACGTTGACAATGGATTTCGCGAGGGAAAGAGCGTCTGGCATCCTTAGGTTAGGAGGGAGTTGGGAAAAGATCGCTAAAAGGGATGTTCCGAGTTGTGGAATCGTATCTTTGTACAAATTCATTTCGGCACAGAAAAATGAACGCATAAGACGTACATCATCGCGGGCTGCGTTCTGGCTGTTCTCTTGGATCAGGTTAATTATGCTTTCAAGGAAGTTATTATTCAGATTTGTAAAAATCTGGGATAAATTCGGCAATACTTTTATGGCATATGATGGATCGGCTCTTGCGGTACCTGCTAATGCGTAAACACAGAATTTCAGCTCTCGGATTGACCCAAATGATAATTCTTGGTCAAAAGCATTTGTTATGCGGCCAACAAGCGTATCAACAAGCTTGCTTTTAAGTTCTGGAGAGCTGACATGGAAAATGGCATCGGCAGCCACTGAAAAATTGTCGGCTTGAATTGCATTTTCATCTGTAAGGAAAAAATCTTCGGCATCGATCATTTCGGATATAGCAGGCATCGAATATGCTAATGCATGAATAGCTTGAACGGTTAAATTTTCGATGTCACTTTTTCCCAATGCTGCAACAGCGCAATGTGCAGCAATATCGAAACATTCACCGGTAAACTTTTGGTTGTTTATGAAAGATTGGGTCAGGTAGAGTAGGCAAGCTAAACACTCCGTTGATTCTTCAGTAGTTTGCACTGCATCAAAGGCAAGTTTGAAAACTTCGGCTGCGAAGCCAGTATCGATTACTTCTTCGAAAGCTACGCATGATGTGGCCCAGCATAGACTGGAGAATGTAGAAGGATTGAAATTTTCTACTTGACTTTGGAATAAATCTGTTATTTGAGCAACAAAAGCTGCAGGAGCCATTTCTATTATACAAATACACATGGCACGTGTCTGCTCGTATCTCAGCTTTAAGTTTGAGTAATTTGCTCGCTTTTCAAACGTAATAACTTCTGGATTTTTCGGCATCGTTGTAAGAAGCTTTGTAATAAGCGAATTTATGACATCCTCGTGTATACTGAATCGTGATGGATTACCATTCATGAAATCATCGTAAATTGTCAAAATAAAAAATTCCCAATATTCGAAGTCTTCAATGTCTTCTACGAGTAATTTCATATGTACTAATGTGAGTGTTTCTATAGAATCTGGATTTTCGAGTTCCTCTAGGTATTGCTGTATAACAGGAAGTAAATAATTGTAATTATCTGTTGTTGCTTCACAAAGAGCTATAAAAAACGTTCTGAGAGTATCTTCATCTATACCTTGTACGAGAAGAAGCTCTGTCAAGGCTTGAAAGCCATCAGGGTTCGGCGGATCGTAGATTTGCTGAATATTAGATGCCATTAATACTTCCCAGTTCAAATATGGTGCGAGTTCAACTAGTGCTTCATTTGAAGAATCGCGTGGAAAATGATTGATGATAATCGGGAGAATTTCTTGTATATTTTGATTAATCATTTCTGAAATCTGTTGATGATGTTCTGGTGTTATTTTAATATCTTTAATAGCCGCAATGAAGTCGGCAAAAAGTTTAAATTTAGGAGGTTCGCTCAATAAAATTTGTTGCAAAAAATTCGGCCAATTTTCTGGGACCTCTCTAATTGCGATGAGAACGAGATCAGCATTTATTTGTTGATACACATTCAATTCTGGTGGTAGCGTTTCTAATAGATTAAGAACGTAATAACGAAGGTCTAATTGCTGACTTTGATTCATGTCATCCCATTTCTTAGTGATTATTTCTTTCAAAAGATGTGCGCCAGCAAATAATGTGTAATCCTCTTCTGCATTTTGAAAAATTGCAACCATAAAATCATATGCATCTTCCCGCCCATTTACTATTGACTGTATTATATCGATGTTTTTGCCTGCAGATCGGGCCATTATATCGAGGTGCCGAACTTCCTCGACTAATGGATCCATTTTTGCTGAATTTTTTTTTTATTTTTTCAAAGGAATCTTTTAGAGGTACGATATTTTGGTTTATTCTGCAAGCTGATATAATAATTTGTTTACTTGTTCGACTAAATTCTACATTTATTCTAAATCTTTCAAAATTATTTTAATTTCAATGATATTCCGATTAAACGCTGTCTCATACATTCCTCATCCAGTTGGCAAGCTGATTTTGAGAAATTAGACCCATAATCATCGCACCATTGAATTTAATGTGAAAAGTCAATAAATTTTAAGCCTGATATAATGACCATATATTTCCTCAAAGAATAAATAGCCATACAATTACAGAAAAGTGACAAATAAAACGAGTTTGTATTGAAATATTAACCTCTATCTTTCAGCCCAAAACTCAGCATTATAATGCACCTCCGAGGTGTCATTAATTCTTCAACGAAGTTATTCGATTTATCAAAATCAATGTAAACAATACGAAACAATTTAACTTAGCTGAGATAGTAGCGATCAAATTGCACTCTGAGGTGAGTTCTCTCTTTACATATATTCGATTTTCAATCAATACAAACTCATTTCTTCGATTTAATTAAAATTATTTATTGCTAAATTCCGAAAAATAGCATGATCAAATGGCTGAGAGTGTTTTAGTTGCAACTTTAGCATAATTACTATTACTTGATAGCAAAAAAAATTTTTTTATCCTGTTTCTTGTATAAGTTTATAAGGATTATAGGTTTTCACTGAATAAGTCTCGTACACATTTAAAAAATTACTGATTTCACAATGAATTTTATATTTTTTGATATTTATATCTAAATATTTCTGCAACCACCAGTCAATTTAGCAATGACTATATGTAACTGTTGTTTTATAGAAAGATTACGTTAAATATTTTGTGAAAAAACATATAAAATAGAAGAAATCGTTCTTCAATATTCTGATACTCCATTAATATTGTGCGAAAGATGAATTCTATTATGGTAATATGCTTAATAAAGTCTTTTTTGTATGAATAAATGAGTTTACAGCAAAGATTGTTCAATTTGAAAAATATCATGCTGAAAAATATAATTTATTGCAAAATTTTAAAACAAAATCTATAGATTTCCATAAAAACATAATGATTTATTTTCCAAAAATTTTGGAATATTTAAAATTTAATGCAAAAATCGTATTTTTATTGTTCATTTTTAAATTTTTGGATTTTTTTTGGAAATTTTATTGCTTCCAAATAGGGGTCCTTTAACTCAAAATGACATAGATTCATATAAAAAATCATGATGACTGCAAAATCAAAATAGATATCAGATATTTTCAAAATTGGAAGGAGAGTAGTATATGAGTGCGGGTTGTGTGACTTTTTTTGTTACATCTATATATAGACGATGCATTAAAATAAATTTATTTATAAATCATTAAAAAATTAACATTAATTTTAAAATAATTTATTTTTTTATCTTTTATAAAAGAAGCTATATATATAGATGATGTCAGATATTCCGCGATTAATTAAACATTGTTTAAATCCTGAATGGGTTAAACTTCAATTTAAAAATGAAGATTGTGAATTATTAAATGAATATGAAAGCCAAAATAAGCTAATGAGGTATAAATATAATGATAAAGAATATTTAATTTCATGGAATCAATGGAGTCATAATCAAAGACCTCATAAACGAGAAGAAGAAATTGAAAATAATGAAATGGAAATCATTGATGACATTAAAGAGGATGGAATTCCTAAATTTTGTAGAAAAACCTTTAGAACTAAGTTAGGAGCATATAAACGTAGAGTATTAAATCCTGAATATCTTAAACATCAATTTAAAAAGGAAGACTGTGAATTATTAAACGTTAATGATTATGAAAATGCAAAATCAAAACTGAGATATAAATATATTGGAAGTGATGAAAGATGCAAAGATAAAGATAAAGTTTATACAGTTTCATATAATAACTGGCACACGTTAGGGATTAGAAAACATTTAGGAGATTATGGTAAAAGTTCTGAATTCTTTAAATCTAGTATATACGAGAGAGTAAAAGAAATTAGATATAATTATCATTCATGAATGAAAAATAAACTTTAAAAATTCATGTCTTACATTTATGAATAATTTATTTTTTTAATTCGTATGAAAATGAGTGGATCAAGATTCGTAACCGTCAATCAATTAATGGATGCTCTTTCACCAATTCTTGAAAATGTTAAACAAGTAGATGTTTATTTCGATGATTATGTAGAAAGTATATATTATAAAGGTAAGTTTAATATTAAACCTATTGCTTTTGCATTTGATAATAAATTAATTGAAAATGCAAAAATTTGGGAATTAATTCCAGATATTGAATTTATAACAAATATTAATGATAAATGGTTTAAACGAATTCCAACCACAAAAGTTCTTTGTAAATTAATGATCAAAACTGAGGAAAAAGAATTTAACGGGTTTAAATATCATCCAAATAAAGTTTCAGAACTAGAAAATGAAAAACTTCAGAAAAAATTAAACGATAGACTTTCAAATGATCGTATTGAAAAAATAAATAAACTAGCAGAAGTTGCATTTAATAATGAAATATTTGATGAATATAACCTTGAACTCAGTGATGGACTTTAAGTCCTGGGCACTTTGTGCCTTGAGCTTTAAGGACCCAGGCTCAACGAGTCATGATTTATGAAATCAATAATTTGATTTATTCGCTCTTCAATAATTTCTATTCTTTTTGTTAAATCATCAATTTTCATTAATGAGGTGATTCTTGATTGGGGAATAGATTTTAAACTAACAACACCTTTTATTTTTGAAATTTTGAATCCATGACCCTCCGGGTCTTGGACTCTGTCCTCAACTTTAAACATTTTATTCAATTTACATGTTGTCAATTCTTCAAATAATTTTTTATTATTAGCATAATAGTCATTAAATTCATCAACAGATGAAAAAATTTTTATTTCAGTAATTGGTTTAACAACGTTTATTTTTTGTTGAACATTTTCACTTTCATTTATTTCCTCCTCCTCTGTTTCATTTATTTTTAAAATCGGTTTCATTTATCATTAAATAAAAAATTAGAATATAAGTGATGAAATATATTTTTTAATTAATATTAAATCAGAGATGGCTGCAGGATTCTTTAAAAAATTATGGGAAGGAATTAAGAAAGCTGCGGGTTGGGTTCATCAAAAGATTATTAAACCCATTGCAAACTTTTTGGCACCAGTAGCGAAAACGGCAGGAACTATCATAGGTGGAGTATTAGGTGCTAAAGCAGGTAATCCGGCGATGGGAGCACAAGCAGGTAACGCAGTTGGTGGAATTGCTGAAGGAATACTTAATAAAATAGGAGGTAGATAGTGGAAAAATAAATAAATATTATTTTTATCTTAGTATCGGTTGTAGTCTTTGATAAACTTTTTCTCCTTTATTTAAAATTTCTCTTATTGGGGCAGCTTTTGGTGTTATTGATTCAGCAACGTCACTAATTGCTTCTTTATTCTTAAATATCCAATTTGCTCCCTTCTTCAATGTTTCCCAAACTTTACTCGCTCCTCTTTTTACTTTATCCCATAATTTTTTAAAGAATCCTGCCGCCATTTCTGATTATTTCATTAAAATTAAAAATTCATTTCCATCTTTTAATTTTGATTTTTTTATTTATTAATAAATGACGACTAACTATTTGGTGCCAAACACCAAACCAATTAATGGAAATGTGTTTCATTCATTCGAAAAGATAAATGAAATATTTGCAAAGAATGACGGTAGAAGATATTATAGAGAACTTGAAAGTTCATGCTATGACTCTGATACTCCATATTTTGATGATAAACAAACTCATTTAAGAATTACAAATCCAGCTCATGATGTGAACCAATTAGGTGACACATATATTAAACGCAAAGTTAAAGCAACTCTAGTTTCAAATAAAGCTTTCACATGTGATGCCGCTTTTAAATGCATGCGTTTATTCGTTGGTTACAAATCATCAAATCAAAGCTTTAAACAATTAGAAGTAGAAACCGAAAGAGGTGATGCTGGTTATCTTCAGATGGATTGCGCCCGTGAATCTTTCGCATTTGCAACATATAAACCGAAATCAGAAAGGAAAGTTAAAAAGTTTGTTCATTCGTTATATAATAATGTTCAAAAATATGATAACTCAGTATGTGGTAAATATATTGACCCTTCAGAAGTTTTCAAGAGAGCAAATGAAGAAGTTGATATCACTTTTGATATGATTATTCCGGTAAATGATTTGTTAGCATTTCAGGCGTTCGATGATTATCCTAAATCATTTGGTGATATCATTCTTAAATATTATGTTTTCAGGGATACTTTAGTATTTTGTCAGGTTGACCCGTTAAGAGTTGCTGATTTACAAAATTACGTTTATGAAAAGATAACTGATGAAAATTATGAAAAGATTATGAATCATGTTTATAAATATGATCGCAAATTCCAACAAATCGGACTTCCTGCCAAATTAATTACAGGCTTAGCCGCTACATCTGCTGACGCAACAGTTGATGACGTTATTATTTCATGCACAAAGATGGAAGTTTTAGAGGATAAATGCATTACACCAGGATATGGTTTAATTGAAGAATCAGTTAAAGCAATACCACGTTTATTTAGTAAGGAAGATCCATTCATGATTCCAGCTCAACATATTGACGTTCGTTCACTAAATGGAGGTTGCATCACTCCTGAAGGTATTAGCTCAGATTTCTCATACGCTCTTCATAATGTTACAGATGTTGTGTTAACATTTCCGAAGAATGCAATGCAAAGAACGGTTTTAGAAAATCCAATGCTTCGAGGTCTTCAGGTCACTATAGATTCCAGAAACTTCCCCGATCAAGCGATGACCACAGTGGGTGACATATTCTTTACACGTATGCTTCAAGCTTCTGATTTAGATGGAGTGAATGAATGCACAGAAGAATACGAGGACTCATTAACTAGACCACTGAATGATGATGATGGCCATTAGCTAGAACATGG